TGGAAAATAGTATGGAGGGTCCTCAAAAATAGAAATACCATATGATCCAATAATTCTACTACTGAGTATTGATTCAAAGAAAATGAAAATACTAATTCAAAAAGATACATATAACCCTATGTTTATTGAAGCATTATTTACAATAGCTAAGATATGGAAACAACCCAAGTGTCCATTGGATAAATGGATGAAGAAGATATGGCAGGTATACACAGTGGAATATTAGCCATAAAAAAGAAAGAAATCCTGCCATTTGTGACAACATGGATAGACTTTGAGGGCATTATGCCAAGTGAAATAAGTTAGAGAAGGAGAAATATCATGTGATTTCACTTATCTGTAGAATCTTAAAACAAACAAAACTCATAGAAACCGAACAGACTGGTGGTTGAAAGAGGGTTGTGGATGAAGGTTGTCAAGAAGTACAAACTTCCAATTATAAGACAAATAAGTTCTGGGGATGTAATGTACAACATGGTAACTATTTAAAAAAGAAAAAAAATAAGGTAAATCATATGTGAAAACTATGATTTATTTAACTTTTAAAATCAATAAAAAGGGGCACTTGGGTAGCACAGGTGGTTAGGCATCCAGCTCTCTCTCTCTCTCTTTTTTTTTTTTAAGATTTATTTATTTATTCGAGAGAGAGGGAGTGAGCACGAGCAGGAGGGGTAGAGGCAGAGGGAGAGAGAATCTCAAGCCGAGTGCGGAGCTCCACCCAGGGCTCAATCCCACGATCCAAGATCACAACTCAAGCTGAAACCAAGAGTCAGAAGCCAAACCAACTGTGCCACCCAGGTGCCCCTAAGCATCTGACTCTTGATCTCAGCTCATGACTTGATCACAGGGTCATGAGTTCAAGCCTCATGTTGGGCTCCAGGTGAGTATGAAGCCTACTTTAAAAAAAATCAATATAAAAAATATGAAGGTTTAAATCATGAGAAAACTAACCCTGATCTTATACCAACCAGAATATTGTGCTGGTATTATTTTTACATGGCAAACTAACATTTAAAGATACTGGATTAGGCCAAAAGCTCTTCTTGTATCTTAGAACTAAGGCCTTTTCTTATCTTGTACTATAACACAGCCTATTACATAAATACACTTTTCAGTGCCCACAAAGGAAACATAGGTAGTTTAACAATTCATTTACACATTTGATTACATAACTAGACTAGATGTTCCTAGCATGCACACATACAATTTTTTTTATTAATCTTTAAAGTTTTCCAAGAGAAGAAAATGAGAGGGAGATATTTCAGACAAATATAAAATTATCATTCTAAAAGGCTAATCTGGGGATCCCTGGGTGGCTCAGTGGTTTAGCGCCTGCCTTCAGCCCGGGGCATGATCCCGGAGTTCCGGGATCGAGTCCTAGGATCGAGTCCCCCATCAGGCTCCCTGTGTGGAGCCTGCTTCTCCCTCTGCCTGTGTCTCTGCCTCTGTGTGTCTCTCATGAATAAATAAATGACACACACACACACACACACACACACAGAGGCAGAGACACAGGCAGAGGGAAAAGCAGGCTCCACGCAGGGAGCCCGATGTGGGACTCAATCCCGGGACCCCAGGATCATGCCCCGAGTTAAAGGCAAGACGCCCAACTGCTGAGCCACCCAGGTGCCCTCCATTTGTTTGTTTGTTTGTTTGTTTCTTGAAGTAGGCTCCACATCCAATGTAGTACTTGAACTCACAACCTTGAGATCAAAGAGTACCAAGCTCTACTGACTGAGCCAACCAGGCACCCCATAAAATCTCTCCTTTTATTTTATTTTTTTAAAAGATTTATTTATTTATGATAGACATAGAGAGAGAGGCAGAGACACAGGAGGAGGGAGAAACAGGCCCCATCCCGGGAGCCCGACGTGGGACTCGATCCCAGGACTGCAGGATCGCGCCCTGGGCCAAAGGCAGGCGCTAAACCGCTGAGCCACCCAGGGATCCCAAAATCTCTCCTTTTAACAAACAAGACAATCTCCTCATGAGGGTTTCTTTTCTTTTTTTCTTGGTTTTTGTTCTTCTTGTTGTTCTGAGGTACCTCTCAAATAAACAATTGTTAGGGCTGCTACAATTCTAACTTGTCCCTAGTGAGATTCTGTCAGAGAGGTAAGGGTATAAATTAGTGTAATTGTGAAGAGGAAGCAGATATTTGGCCCAGTTTTAGATGAGACAAGGCTCCATAAGGATAGTGCTGTGTAACCTTGTATCTGCAGAACTTGGCCAAAAGCCAATTATCATTGACAGGGCCAGAAAAATGTCTTGATTCTGGGGAGAAGAATGAAACAAAGTAGTTTCCAGGAACACAAAATTGAGGAAAAATTCCTTATAGCAATTTAAAATGGCAATCTAAGGGGTGCCTAGGTGGCTCGGTTAAGCATCTGCCTTTGGCTCAGGTCATGATCCCAGGGTGCTGGGATCAATTCCTGCCCAGGGCTCCCTGCTCAGTGGGGAGCCTGCTTCTCCCTCTTCCTCTTCCCCTCCCCTTCTGATCATGTGCTCGTGCGCGCGCTCTCTCTCTCTCTCTCTTTCAAATAAATAAAATCTTAAATAAGTAAATAAAATGGCAATCTGAGGCAAAGTTTAAAGACACTGGTCTGAGGATCTTTTGAATTCCACAGCCTATAACACTGGTTGTAGTACAGACTTACTAGACATTGGTTAATGGAGTGATTTGTCTGGTTTATTCTGGTAACAAGTAACACTCAAGCATGCTAACTAATTATATGACCCCTGAGTGGTTGGCGTCTCCAGCTTCTTAGAGGGACAAGTGGTGTTCAATCACTAGAGTTTGAGCAATAACAGATTTGTGATGTCCTTAGACATTCAGGGCTGCATATCTGTCCTTTCCCTAGAAACGTTTCCTCTTATAGACAAATGGCATTCAAAACAATAGACAAGAGAGGACAGATCATAGGGGCAGATATAAAAAGCCAAAAACAATTTAACCAAAGAAAAATAAAAATCTAATTAGATAACCATGAACCAAAGGGGACCTTTTTGCAAGGAAAACAAAATCTCAATACTTAAGGGTCTTAATAAAACATCAGAGCTCACATTTAGTGAGAACTTACCTCCCAGCCATGGGCAGGATGGCATCTCAAACAGTTAGAGACACAAAGTGTTTCAGATGTGCACATTATTACTAGAGTTGAGGGTCCCAGTCCAAGTTTGTGAAGGCTTCAGCTGAAACTCTGTAGATTCCTCTTTTCTGACAATGCCCTCCAGCCAAAGACCAGCAGGAGCACACCTGTGGTTGAACAAGGAAGATGGCACACCATGGGGAACCCATCATGGACATCTCAGCAAAATGTGTTAGAAAGGACTTATTATAGGATTTGGGCTTATGTTAGATTCTCGAGGAGAGCTCAAGAAAGGGGAGATTTGCTTCAGGTTGGATGTTGTCAGGAAGTGGTGATAATTCTTTTTGGTTATCTTAATAAATCTCATCTAGAAGTTAGAAGGAATGGATTAGGATTAAAGCTATATTTAGGGGAACCTGGGCAGCTCAGATGGTTGAGCATCTGCCTTCTGCTCAGGTCATGATCCCAGGGTCCTGGGATCAAGCCCCATATCAGGCTCCCTATTCAGCAGGGAGCCTGCTTCTCCCTCTCCCTCTCCTGCCCACCCTGCTTGTGCTATCTCTCTCTCTCTCTTTTTTCTCTCTCTCTAATAAATAAAATCTTTTTTTAAAAGCTGTACTTGGTAAAGAAGCAGCAGTCACTCAAACTGTGGGGGAAGGGGTTGTGTTTGGTCATTTTTGTGTTTGGGCAATGTTGGTTTTGTGTTCAGAAATGATTATGAAATGGTCTTTCTCTCAATCTGTCAGAGTGCCATGGCCTAGCTGATAGTGCCAGGCCTGCTCCTAGCATTACCAAGGTTTCCACAGGGAGAGTGTAAACTAGCTCCCAGCTGTCATGGGCTGCCTTTTTTTTTTTTTTTAAATCAGTTGCACTTGAAAAATCAGAATTGGCAACCTCTTTTGGTAAAACATGAGCTCTCTGGGTCACCACAGGCTCCATTACTCCCCAATACCTTGTAATGCCCTACCCCACTCATGTACACTCCTAACTGTTCCCTGGCATTGAAATCTGCACCCCACACAGAGCAAAATAGGAACCAAGCCCAGAGAAAAGTGACTTGGCTAGGATCACCCAATGAACCTGTGGGAGAGTGGAAATTCTGTTTAAATTTTCCCTCCAGCAAACCCCCATGCTAGACATTAAGATCCTTTGTTAAATCTCTGAAGTATCAGCCTCTCAACGGAACGTAGATCCAGTCAGATAAACACTTCTCAGTACATTTTCTTGTCAATAACATGTCCCTGACTTATTCTTTCTTTTTTTCGGGATTGGGTGTCTCGAGACCTTAGCTGGGATTCTAAAACCTTTGCTTGGCCGCTGCAGCCACCCCTGACACTCATTCTGCTCAATACCACAGGCGTGTTTCTGCCTGGAGTCCGTGTGTGTGCACTTCCCTCTGCCTGGAGTTCTCCCTCACACCTTAGTGTGGCCTCGTCTTCTCAGCTTCGGCTCTGCATCACTTCCTCAGGCACGCACTTCCTGACGGCCTTACCTACTACACACACCCTGCATGTCCTAGCACTACTGTCACCTCTCTAAGGAGGCCACCTCACTTTGGCCTCTTGTACAAGTCTCCCTTGGTGCTTTGTTCGAAGCTCTCCGCAGTCTGTCAAAAGCGCGGGGATGGGAGGCGGAAACCTTGCCTTTCACGCCCGCGAAGCGCTCTGAGGGCAGAGACTCAACCACCGCGAGGCGACCTCGCTTTCCACAGCAGGCATGTGGCGGAGCCCGTCCTCCAACCACTGTCCAAGACCCGCGCGAGGACCTCACGTCGCGCGGTAACCCACCCCGCCAGAGGCTGCGCGCTACCTCTCCACGGGGGCCCTAGGTCACCACGCATGCTCCGCACCGCCGGCGCGCGAGGTCAGGGGCGGGACCTTGGCGCGCCTGCGCACCTGTTCAGCCTCGGCTTCCGGCGGCGTCGGCGTGATGGGGCTGAGGGCTGCGGCGGAGTAGCCGCGGCGTGTGGTCGTGTGGACCTCGCTGTCTGTTCCGACGGCTCGGGTCTCGGGGTCTTTGAGAGCCGTCGGAGGGTGCGGAGAGAGCCTAGGATCGCCGTCCGCCGCCAGTCCCCGGCATGTCGGCCGAGGCTTCGGGCCCGGCGGCGGCCGAGGCCCCGTCCCTGGAAGCCCCCAAGCCCTCGGGTCTCGAGCCTGGCTCCGCCGCCTACGGTCTCAAGCCGCTCACCCCGAACAGCAAGTACGTGAAGCTGAATGTGGGCGGCTCGCTGCACTACACCACGCTGCGCACCCTCACGGGACAGGACACCATGCTCAAAGCCATGTTCAGCGGCCGCGCGGAGGTGCTCACTGACGCGGGAGGTACGCCGCGCCGCACTTACCTCTGTGGTCCTCCATCCTCCAGATCCCCGTCTGCCTTCCCTCGCCCAGTCTCCTCATATCCCCTCTCTCGCATCTCTACCGTGCAGTCAACTCATTTAACCTCCCTCCAGCCCCCGCCATCCAGTCTCATCGCCCCTTCCTCATTCATAATTCCCCTCCTATCTCAGTCCTTTATCCCTAGCAATAACCGACATTTAAGGGAATATCACATGCCCGCTTCCAACACGCGCTGTGGTAAGTAATTCAACACGTCACTTCCGAATTTTTATTACCAGTCCCCTCCAATTCTCCCACCCTTTACTCCTCAGCTCAGACGACTCGGGAACTAGCCCTGCTACCAGCAGCACCCTTCCAGGCAACCTTCATGTTCCTTCCAACTGCCCAGCCTTATGTTTGCCTCTCTACCTCAGCACTACCAGCAACCGGCCTGGAGGAGTTGTCTGTCTCTATTCCTCCAACACAGGTCCCCGTACGCTCTAGGGATCCATCTGTAAATGCAGACTGTAGAAAAAGGCTGTTTTGGGGGTTTGCCATGGACACCAGAGAGAAGGGTGGACAGTTCTCTTTGGCAGGTGAACCTTACCTTCTTGGAGTGTTGCCTTCAGGGTTGGAACCCACATGCCCAGGTGGAACTGTAGTTTTTGTGAGGGTGGGGGAAGGTATTGAGAGGGGTATAACAATGATAGTAAAGAGCAGGAAAATTAAAATTTGGGCGATGGAGTTCAATCTTAAAATATCTGAGGTTGAAGGATTTGATTATTCAACAAGTATTTGTAAAGTGCCAGTTAGTGCCAGAGATACTTTGGTAAATGAATCAGACAAGATTAGTCTTATAGACTTTACTTTTTTTGTGGGGGCAGGAGGAAAATAATAAGCAAATACACATATGAAAAATACATGTGATTGCAGATAGTAATAAGTTCTCTGAATAATATAAAGGTTGAAATGGTAGTGAACTGGGGGGTGGGGTAGATATTTTAATTAAGGCAGTCAGAACTAACGCCAAAGGTTAGAGTTTGTTGGTAAGGTAATCATTTTCATTGCAATCATTTTCTCATGGTGAGAACTTTTTCAATGCAGAACAGACCTGGAAAGGAATTCATTCTCTGTGTCTACGAATGTTAAAAAGGGGTCTATGGGAGAACTCACTGGAGATGTTTTAAAGGGATTTTCTTGGATGTGGCAAAGGTTTGAGACAGATCAGTATTCAGACCTGTAGCTTTGGAATCTGTTTTTCATAAAAATTTAGTAGCTCCAGAGCCCCCTGCAAAGCCATCCTTCCTCTTGCCTGTCTCCACTCCACCAGGTTGGGTGCTGATTGACCGGAGCGGCCGCCACTTTGGTACAATCCTCAACTACCTGCGGGATGGGTCCGTGCCACTGCCTGATAATACCAGAGAACTGGGGGAGCTACTAGGCGAAGCACGCTACTACCTGGTACAGGGTCTGATTGAGGACTGCCAGCTAGCATTGCAGGTGAGGGGCCCTGGGTCCCACCTTATACCCATGTCTCTGGGAGAGCTGTCTAAGCACTTAGATACTAGCACATTAAAAAATAGAGGGGAGGTATCTGGGGTATTGTTTGGAGAGGCTTCCTATGGCCTGGCTGTGACTAGCCATAACTACAGAAAATTTGGTTGGAGATGCTTTCCTGTGTATTCCTGCTACCTCAGGAAGGACCTCCCTCACCACCTCGTGCCAGGACTATTACAGTAGTTTTTTTTGTTTAAGATTTTATTTATTTTTTCATGAGAGACACAAAGAGAGGCAGAGACATAGGCAGAGAGAGAAGCAGGCCCCATGCAGGGAGCCTGATGTGGGACTCGATCCTCTGATTTCCAGGATCCTGCCCTGGGCCAAAGGCAGACGCTCAACCGCTGAGCCACCCAGGGGTCCCTGTTACAGTAGTTAAATGACTGTTCTCTCCTTGCTGTTCCTACCTGGCTAATCCGGCAATCACACTACCACCTGAGTGATGATCCTTAAACAGTCTAGTCTCCCCTTTGCTCCTAAATCTGAAATAACTCCCTGTGCCACTAGGAAAAAAAAAATAATAATTTTAAATTAGAATATAATGATCTCTGTGATTTGGTCCTGTCCTGGGAGGCAGTATTCCACCCCCAGCCAGGTTTTTGTTGTTGTTGTTTTTAACTTCTTTTTTAGCAATGAAATCCTAGAATCAGAGCTGCTCCCCAAAAGACAGATTGGGGGTTCCACGCCCCAACTTCTGGGCTTCTCTTCTATGGATCTCAGGGTTCTGAAGAGAGCTTAGAAAGCACAGCCAGGACCTGTGGGTTAAGTGTCACCTCTACCACAGCTGACCGAGTGACCTTGATTGATTCAGTTCCTACCTCTGGCATTCTGTCCTCATGTTCCAAAAGATAGGAAAACAAGAAAAATATGTACACTGTAGTGAGTTTTACATAAAGCCTTTTATTTTGTTCTATTTTTACATTGTTAAAAATGTACCTTCTTTTATGATACAATATTACTAGGAGATTATAAGAGTTTCTTTTTTAGTGCCCTTTATATATTAAAAAGTGGCGACTATAAACAATTTTCTGTTATCTTGGTGAATACATATTGGTTCTTGAAATTCAAAAGTATAGGGCAGCCTGGGTGGCTCAGCGGTTTAGAGCCGCCTTCAGCCCAGGGCATGATCCTGGAGACCCAGGATCAAGTCCCATGTCAGGCTCACTGCATGGAGCCTGCTTATCCCTCTGCCTGTGTCTCTGCCTCTCTCTCTCTCTCTGTGTTTCTCATGAATGAATAAATAAATAAAATCTTTTAAAAAAATAAAACAAAAGTATAGAGTTCCTTCGGGCAATATCCATGTTTTTCAAACTGCAACCTATAGGGGAAAAATGCATTTTATGCCCACGTATATATAACTTAAGTAAAAATTTTATAAAATGATACTTTTAGTGAAATACATGCTGATATATTGTTTTCTTTCTTTTTAATGCTCTTTGGACCCATTAACTGATTTCATGACTCATTAATGGGTCACCACTTGCAGTTGGAAAACCATTGAACTAAATAATCTTGAAAGTGAGTTCCTGCTCTGTAGTTGTACATTTATTCAGTGTTACCTTCCACCCACTGTGCGTTGGGAGCTATTCTGCTATCTGATTGTGTGTACATCTTGTACCCCTGTTCGATATACAGGTAGGAAGTTAAGGATGCATCCAAGGTCAAAGAGCCAGTAAGCCGCAGAGCTCAGAGTCAGCCCCAGCTTATCTGATTGCTAGGTGCAGTGTTTTTTCCTCTGTGCTCTACTTGCTTCCTTTCCAGGTTTCTCTGACACTGTTCTCATCCTCACCCCACTCAGAGTTTGCATGTTCTTTTGGAGGTTTTTGTTTTTAAGATTCAGGTGTAGAGAATTGGGTTCATCATACTCCTCAGCGTGTGGTACTTAATCATCATTGGTCTCATTACAGATCTTTTCTCTATTTTTCCCTTTCATTCCCAGTTCCTTGCCCACTTCCATTTTACCCATAGGTACCCCTCTAATTCTGACATTTTGATACATATACTTAGATTATGTTTGTACCCTTGAAAAGCTAAAAGCCTCATTTTGTATATGTACGTGTTTTAAATTTCCATAAATGGCATTGAGGTATGGATTGTGTATTTCTTAATTCAACACTTTTTTCAAGATCTATTCATGCTGCTATTTGTACATTTAGTTCTTTGCTTCTAACTGCTGCACAAGAATCTATGGCATGATACATATTCACCATATTTTATTTATACATTCCCCTGAGGTTGGAAACCTAGATTGCCTCCAACTTCCCTCCCCCACACACCGTGCCACCTGCCACCATGAGCATCCTTATACATGTGCCCTTGTGGATCCTGGGCCAGGGTTTCTCATGTTTGTAGCTGGGAGTGGAATTGCAGGGTAATAGAACACATACAAACGAATTTCAGCAAGTATCATCAGATTACTTTCCCAAATGACTGTAGCACTTTATACTCTTGATCAGCAATGCAAAAGGGATCCCATTTCTGCATATTCTCAACAACACATGGCATCATCCAGTGTTCTAATTTTGTCAGTCTGGTTGGTACAGAGTGATCTCATTTTAATTTGCATGCCTCTAATTACTAATGAGATTGAGCATCTTTTCATATGCTTTACTTGCTTTTGTGGTTCCCTTTCTGTGAATTGCCTATTCATGTTCTTTACCAAATTTTCGACTGAGTTTCCTATCTTTTTCTTGTTGCTTTGGAGAAGATGTCTGCATATTTTAGTTTAGTTCCTAGGGAGAACTAAGCCCTAACACATGTATTGTACATAATAAATTTACTTTCCTCGTATGTTTGTAGAATGGTACTACTTTCATCCTTGGAAGAGATGAGAAAATAGGTACTGCAATTACTTCCTGGATTTTGAGATTCAGATGAAGAATCCTAGTTGAGAAAATCTGTTTCAGATAATTTTTAGTCAGTTTTAATTGTTGCCAATATTGTCTCTTAAAATGTCACCTGTCTGTGGCATCTGTTGTTGGATAGAAATCTTTTTTATTATAACCATTTATTATTTTTAAAGGAGTATATGTATGCATTGTAGAAATTTAGAAAACACAGATAAAAAAATAAAAATTCCAAATATCCTTCAAGGTCTTCATGTGTGTGTGTGTGTGTGTGCGTGCATGTGTGTGTTTGCCAAAATATATATGATTATACTGTATGTGCTGTTTTGTAATCTGCTTTTTTTTGTTTGTTAATAATTGCCATCTTTCCATGTCAATAAAATTTCGTCTTACCTAACATCCAGAGTATATACAAATTTTTCCATTTGTTCCAGAGACATCTTTTTTTTTTTTTCAGAGACATCTTTTATAGCTGGTTCATCTAAACCAGGACCCAGTCTAGATCCTTGCATTATATCTGATTATTATGTTCTTTAAGTCTCTTCCAACCCCAAACCATCCCTTTTTTATTTATGCTGACTTATTAAAAGAGACTGCCAATTGTCCTGCACAGTGATCCGTTTTCCATATTTGCCTGGTTGATTCCTTGTGGTATCATTTGGTTTAGTACTGTACCCTATTCTGTGTTTTCTGGAAACTAGACAGTATATTTATTTTTTTTTTAATTTTTTTTTTTATTTATTTACGATAGTCATACAGAGAGAGAGAGAAAGGCAGAGACACAGGCAGAGGGAGAAGCAGGCTCCATGCACTGGGAGCCCTACGTGGGATTCGATCCCGGGTCTCCAGGATCACGCCCTGAGCCAAAGGCAGGCGCCAAACCGCTGCGCCACCCAGGGATCCCGTATATTTATTTTTTTAAGTTTATTTATTTATTTTTTAGTAATCTCTACACCTACGGTAGAAATTGGACTTAAACTCACAACCCTGAGATCAAGAGCCACATGCTCTTCTGACTGAGCTAGCCAGGTGCCCCAACAGCAGATTTAAAGGCTTGATACTAAACATTTTGGTTAGAATAAAATTTAGGTAATTTTATATATTTCTTTTTTTTAAGATTTTATTTATTTTTTCACGAGAGAGACACACAGAGAGAGGCAGAGACACAGGCGGAGGGAGAAGCAGGCTCCATGCAAGGAGCCCGACATGGGACTTGATCCTGGGTCCCCGGGATCGGGCCCTGGGCTGAAGGCAGGCTCTAAACTGCTGAGCCACCTGGGCTGCCCAATTTTATGTATTTCATATTGTGTTGTATTGAGAAATCCATAATACTGCTGCTAATATGACCCATCATTGGTAATGCTCAGAATTGGCCCCTAGATTCGTGATGATGATTGGATCCCTCCATTATCATTACATTTCCTTGTTGCCAACCATGAAGTAATCTGTGTGATGTTGTTTAGGCACTGATAGGTAACTGTGAATGGCACTTACCTATCAGCCACACCACCGATTGAGAATCCTTACGGATTAATCATTTCTTTAGGGTTGTAGAGTAATTATAATTCTGTCATTCTTTTAGCATTATTACCTGGGATTATTTGTAAAGTCACAGTTTCCATTGTCAACTGGAGAAAATCTTGATTTTATTTTTTTTTTTAATTTTTTTTTTTATTTATTTATGATAGTCACACACACACATAGAGAGAGAGAGGCAGAGACACAGGCAGAGGGAGAAGCAGGCTCCATGCACCGGGAGCCCGACGTGGGATTCGATCCCGGGTCTCCAGGATCGCGCCCTGGGCCAAAGGCAGGCGCCAAACCGCTGCGCCACCCAGGGATCCCCGAAAATCTTGATTTTAATGTCAAATTCCTCTTTGTTTTTTAACCTAGTGGTATATCTTTGTAGGGTCTTGTTTAGGAAGATTTTTTTATCCCATCCTACATCTTTTACTAGTTTTATAGTTCTATCTTTCATATATGGGTCTTTTAATCTAAATGGAATTCATGGTCTTAAATGTGAATTATGAAGGGATTTAACTTTTTTTTTGTCCTCCGTAGAGTGAGCTAGTTTTTCCAATGCCATCTACTAAACACTCTGTGGTAGCCAGTGTTCAAGATAGCCACCAGCAATTCTTGCTTCATCCTTATTCAGGCTCTTGTGTAGTCCCCTCCCCCACTGAATATGGCTGACCTATGTAACCAGTAGGATATTGCAGAAGTGATAGTGTATGACTTCTAAAGCTAGGTCACAAAAGACATTGCAATTTCTGCCTCTGTCTTGGATCACTCATTCTGGGGGAAGCCAGCTGCCACGTGACACCCAGTCAACCCAAAGGAGAGTTTACTTGGTGAGGAACAGAAGCCCCCTGTCAATAACCAGCACAGAGTCCCAGCCATATGGGTGAACTATCTCAAGTGGATTTGTTAGGCCCAATCAAGTCTTCAGATAACTACAGCCCTGGCCAGCATCTGGACTCCCAACTTCATGAGAGGCCCTGGTCCAGACCACCCAGCTGAGCCAATCTCAAGTTCCCAACCCATGAAAAATGTGTGCAATAATAAATGTTTATATTGTTTTAAGCTGCTAAATCTGTAGTCATTTGTTACCCAGCAGTGGATAACAGATTTGGTATCTGGAGTGGGGTTCTGTAGTAACAAAAGCCTAAAATATGGAGTGGCTTTAGAATTGGGAAGTGGGCACCAGCTGGCAGGACTTTGAGGAGAATGTTAATAAAAGCCTGAAGAACTTTAGAGGGTCTGTTCATAGAAGCCCAATGACTTTGGAGGAGGCTGAATGGAAGAAAATGTTACTGGAAACTGGCACAAAGGGAACCCTTGTCATGTAGACGAAAGAGTTCAGCAACACTGTCTCCTACAGTAGAAAACATACCTAATGAATTGGGTGATATAGCTAAAGAGGTTTCCAAAAAAGAACGTTGAAGGTTTTGTTGCTGATAGTGAAATAGAAGAGAGAGTAAGCAAGAGGAAAAACAAGAAGGCAGGAATTACTGTGTTTGAAAAGTCCCAACCTTTCAAGATAACACATGATGCTACAATTCACAAATAGCTTCCAGGCCAAGATCAGATACAGGGAATTCTCAGTAAAACATGTTCTAAAGATGAAGCCTAGGATGTGATTCTAAAAGCCTTTGTTAAGACTTCAGAAATATCCCAGAAAATGCCTCAGCACTGCTGCTCAAACAACAGTGCTTCTAAGAAGCTGAAGGGTGGTGCCCCTCAGCAGTCTGAGCACACCCCCAAAGTAGAGGAGAGGGTATCTCACAAAAATTTGTGGGTGTGGGATCATCCAGTGAACTGAACCCCAAGACTCGCAAGATACCCACTACATTTTTACGAGAATTATGTTGGCAGAAACTGCCAGCTTGGAGTGAAAGTGACAGAGATGGAGCAAGAGAAGAGGCCTTTGGACCTCTTTACAGGTGAAAACCGTGGAGCTGCAAGCATGGACTGGCTTTCATGGAAAAGGAAGGACGGTTCAGGGCAGAGCCAACAGCCATAGAGAATCATTTCTGGGCAAGAGTGCATTAGCTCCCAACATTTGTCCAACTGGCTTTCAGAATTTCTATGAAACAGGGATCCCTGGGTGGCTCAGCGGTTTAGTGCCTGCCTTTGGCCCAGGGCATGATCCTGGAGTCCCAGGATCAAGTCCCGCGTCGGGCTCCCGGCATGGAGCCTGCTTCTCCCTTCTCCCTCCTCCTGTGTCTCTGCCTCTCTCTATCTCTCTGTGTCTATCATAAATAAATAAATCTTTAAAAAAAAAAGAATTTCTATGAAACAGTGACTTGTATGTGCCACCAACCTTCCCCCAAGCATTCCAGACAAGAGTAACTCCAGTGTTTATTGTAATGCCTGTTCCACCACTGCATATTAGGTGTATGGGAGAGAGAATTTGTGTCTTTAGTTCACAGGTCTTCAGGTCCAGAGGAAATGTACTTAAGGAGCTATACCCAAGGATCCTCATCCACATCTAGACTGACTTAGATGACAGTATTCTGTACTTCAGGCTGATGCTATAATGGGATGAGACTTTGGGATATCATAGGAGGGGATGAGTGTGGTTTTCAATGGGAAGGATTTGAATCAAAGGGGCCAGATGATGGCCTGTGGAGCCAGTCTCCAAGGCAATCTCTAATGATTCTTATTCCCTGGTATTCATTCTTTTGGTAGTTTCCTTGCACACAGAGCAGGGCTGACAAAACTAGGTCATAAAAGACATTGAAGCCTCCACTTTGCTCTTGGATTATTTGCTCTGGAGAAGCCAGCTGCCATGTTGTGAGGACACTTAGGCAACCCTTTGGAGAGGTCCAGATGACAGGGACCAGCTGTTTCCTGATGATAGCCAGCATGAACTTGCCAGCCATATGTATAAGCTTTCTGACACAGATCCTCCAGATTCAGGCATTCCTTCAGATTCCTGCAGCATTGGCTGACTTAGCTACAACCTCAAGACGTGCACCTATTCCACAACAACCCAGCTAAGCCACTCTTAAATTCCTAATCAACAGAAACTGAAATAATATTGTTGCTTTAAGCTGCTAAGTTTGGGAATAGTTTATTACACAGCCATAACTGACACACACTCCATTCTTACCCCACTGATATGAGGTGTCCTTTATAAATACCAGTTCTCATATATACATCAGCCCATTTCCAAACTCTCTTGTGTTCCACTGGTTTTTCGTTTGTTCCCAAAACCAAAACATACTGTTTTCATTAGTGTGGCTTTATAGAATATCTTAATATATGATAGCATCAGTCTTTCCTCTTGGCTCTTTTTAAAAATTAACCTAAGTAATAGTAGACTTTAATTCTTCCATATTTTTTTTAATTTTTATTTATTTATGATAGAGAAGCAGGCTCCATGCACCGGGAGCCCGACGTGGGACTCAATCCCGGGTCTCCAGGATCGCGCCCTGGGCCAAAGGCAGGCACCAAAAGGCTGTGCCACTAAGGGATCCCTAATTCTTCCATATTAATGATAGAAAAAGTCTTATAAGTTTCTTAAAAAAAGTCTTTTGGAATTTCCGGTTGAGAAAAAGATCTGGTTGAGAGAAGTAAAAGGGGTTTTGGCATAAAGATTCTGGAAGACAGAAAAGGGGAAAGAAGTTCATGTATCTGGTTCTGCCTCATGCCTCATCCCACCCAGCCAGGTTCATTTATTCAACAGACACTGAGCATGTACTGTATAGCAGGCACTCCCTAGATGAGAAAAGAGAGATCACAAGCAAACATACAACAAAATGTGAGGAGAGGAGAAAATGTGAGGAACTCAGTGCTGTGAAGAATGAGCTGCTAATGTGTAAAGGAGGTAGAGGAGACTGCTTCAGTCAGGAATCTTTTTTTTTTTTTAAGATTTTATTTATTTATTCATGAGAGACACAGAAAGAGAAAGACACAGGCAGAGATGCAGGCAGAGAGAGAAGCAGGCTCCATGCAGGGAGCTTGACGTGGGACTCAGTCCTGGGTCTCCAGGATCATGCCCTGGGCCAAAGGCAGCACTAAACCACTGAGCCACCTGGGCTTCCCTAGTCAGGAATCTTTAGGAGACGGACCAGCACCCTCTGAGGGGTACTTTTTGAGTTATCTGAATGGTATGAAGGAACTAGCCAAGCACACAGCAGTGTAGACAATTCTGGGCGATGGGAACAGCAAAGGGCTGAGTGGGTACAAGGAACAGGCCACAGTGGGGCTGAAACCCAGCAAGCAGGGGAGAATGGTAGAAACAAGATCAGAGAGTTTGGATCCTACAGAGCTCTGTGGACCACTAAGGAGTCGACCCCGCCCCCAAAGTCAACAAGCAGCTTTGGACACCTTTTAAGTAGGAGAGTGAGTGACCTTTGGTTGTGCTGTTAACCACCTTCCGCTTCTTCTCTAGCAAAAAAGGGAGAACCTGTCCCCGCTGTGCCTCATCCCCACGGTGACATCTCCCCGGGAGGAGCAGCAGCTCCTGGCCAGCACCTCTAAGGTGAGGCCCCTGTGTCCTGTAGGGTGGAAGCTGGGGGCCTCTCCCTGCAGCCTGACCCCCGCCCTTCTCCTTGCTCTCTACCCCCACAGCCCGTGGTGAAGCTCCTGCACAACCGCAGTAACAACAAGTATTCCTACACCAGGTGATGGCCCCGGGGTGGGGAGGTGCACAGGGTTGGGGGGCGGGGGCTGTGGCCGCCCAGAGGGACAGAGTGCCTGCCTGCCAGCCTGCCTGCCGGGGTGCAGATTCCAACTCTGGGTATGGGGCAGGTCATTTTCATCCCAAGGTTCAGTGTGTTCACCAGGAAATGGTTCCACCGAGGATCAGATGACAGTGGCTAGCATTTACAGAGGGTTTTTCCACAAGAGAGACATTGCTTTCCATGCTTTACACATAGTAGCTCCCATGATCAGCCCAACTCTTTGGGGTACTACTGTCTCCATTTGGCAGATGGGGGAACCAAGGCACCAATAAGTGAAATAACTTGCCTCACATCACTCAGGTAAAAGAAGTGGTGGTGCAGCTGGGGCTCCAGGTCCTGCACAGTAGTCCTTCTGCTGTGCTGGGATTTGCTCCGCTCTGCTTCTTCCCTAAGGCCCACTTAGCCTGGCCCAGGGTGGAAGAAGCTCCCTGCTGAACCCCAAGACCTGTATGCAGGGCAGGCAGGCCTCTGTGCTAGAGGGACAGAGGGAAGGAAACCAGTGCACTGAGGCCTCCTGGTCCCCTGGTCTTCAGCACTTCGGATGACAACCTCCTTAAGAACATTGAGCTGTTTGACAAACTGGCCCTGCGCTTCCACGGGCGGCTGCTTTTCCTCAAGGATGTACTGGGGGACGAGATCTGCTGTTGGTCCTTCTACGGGCAGGGCCGCAAAATCGCCGAGGTGTGCTGCACCTCCATTGTCTATGCCACGGAGAAGAAGCAGACCAAGGTCAGAGGGGATTCAGGGCCTGGTCAGGGAGGGCTGTGGTGGTGGGCAGCACCAGGACCCTGGACAAAGACAGCTCAGCAGACCGGGCAGCGGAAAGTCCTGGGAATCAGGAGCTGCAGTTTCAAGTTCCGGGGTCTTGGGGAACCTTGGGCAAATCACCCTCCTTCTGTGGGTCTCTGTTTCTCTGCCGTGAAGTGAGGGTGTTGGATTAGAGTGGGATTCTTTACCGAGCCCATTTGGGTCTCAAGGCCATCTTGAAGTGGTAAGTGGGTTTGGAGTGTGTATGCATTTTTCCATATAGAAAAACCATAGATGTTAAAATCTCAGAATGGTCCCTGATGCAAAATAGGTTCTTAAAACCTCAAGGCCTTAGAACACACAGGTCTCTTAGAACACACTGAGTTTGTAAGTCCTGAGTCCTGAACATGGCAGTCCCCAGCAGATACTTCCAGAGCACCTACTCTGCACTAAGCACGGCGCCAGGTTTGAAATCAAGGTGATTGAAAGGCCTAGTAAAGTACCAGCCCTCTGTCGTGTCATCTGCTCCCTTTTGACTTTGATATGAGGGATGTGCCTCAGATAACACAAATTTCTGAGCACCGAGCGCAATTTCATACCTCCCAGTCTTTGCACTAACGTCCCTCTTGGACTTTTTCCTCATCTGCATCTGCCTAATGAACTTGTGCTCAATCTTTAAGACACAAGCCAAGCACAGATTTCTTTGGGATACTTTTGTTCATGAACTTTCAACCCTTTAACCCCAGAGGTGGTCCTACTTCCTTCCTAATCTGCAGTGGGCAGAGGCTGGGGTGGGGCCGGGGGTCTCACATCAGCAGCAAGAGATTAGCTCCTTGAGGGTAGGGCTCTAGCTTTTCTTCCAATCTCCCTAGCACTGGGCAGGTGCTTATCACACAATGGAAGCTAGGAAACATTTTTTGAATACATGCATGCATGAATTCCAAGCAGCTTCCAAGAAGTTTCCACTGTAATTGGGAAGACAGGAAGATAAACCAGTAATGAAAATGCAGCTTGTTAAAAGTTATGTTAGCTCTGTCCCTCCAGGTCACATGAGGGGACTCTCCCAGCACCTCCTTGCCTCACCCCTTTCTACTTTCTCTCCGCTCTGCTTCCTTCCTGCAGATGTTCAAATACTATGCAATACTAAATGCATTCCTGCCCTGGAGCTCTGAGCCTTGCTGTTGTATGTACCCCAGGCTGCCCTTTCTCTATTTACCCATGTTGCTCCTTCCCTCCCTCCTTTGGCTGTTGGTTGAATGTCACCCTTTCACGGAGGCCTTCTCTGAACACCCTCTCTAAAGTTGTAATATTCATGGCCATGAGCATCCCCACCTGCTTTTTCTGCTGTATTTTTTCCTGTAATGCTTACCACCATCTGATATTATATTTTATTACACATATGTCTGTGTCCCTCCTCTGGAAGGGAAGCTTCCTGCAGACAGGAGCTTCGCTGAGTTCACTGCTACACTCCCAAAACCTAGAACGACACCTGGTACGGTGCAGTCACTAGGAGTATTTGTCAAGGGAAAGAACATACCAAGAGACTTGGCAGCAAAGGAGAGAAAGCAAGTAACTGCCTGACTCCAGAGCTGGACCTTGAAGGATAAGTATGTCTTTGCTGAGTAAGGGATTGGCAGAGAGGATAGGTAGTCAGGACAGAGGAGCTGCGGCTGCAACGGCTCGGGGGTGTACTTCCTGGTAGTGGGGCAGTGGGGTTGGGGGAGGCATCTGTGGAACTGGATCATAGGGTAGGAGCTGGGGCTGCCGGCCTTTTGCAGGTGGAATTCCCAGAGGCCCGGATCTTTGAAGAGACCTTGAACATCCTGATCTACGAGACTCCCCGGGGCCCAGACCCAGCCCTCCTGGAGGCCACAGGGGGTGCAGCCGGAGGTGGTGGGGCAAGCCGAGGGGAGGACGAGGACAACCGTGAGCACCGGGTCCGCAGGATCCACGTCCGGCGCCACATCACCCATGATGAGCGTCCCCATGGCCAACAGATTGTCTTCAAGGACTGAGCTTTGACCTTTCTCTGTCTTCCACCTGCCACCAGAACACAGTTCCTCTCTCTCTCCCTCCCCTTCCCTGACTTTTGCCCCCGGCTTTGCTGGCCAAGTCGTGGGTCCTCTTCTTGTCCCTTTTCCATTCTTTTGCATCTCACTGCTAATGGCACGGTACATTCCAGCCCCTTCCTCATTCACAACTCTTCAGAAGGCCTACATTTGTCCCCTCATCCCATCCTTTTCCTGCTATCTTCCCTCTCCAGCTGGTTTATAATGATTTAGAATTCCCTTTTTTTTCTTTCTTTCTCTCTTTTCAGCACATTGTACATGCCAAAGTGTCATGCCAGCCGTTCCTGACACCTACCATGTTCTGAGCCGCCTCCCCGTTGTGCAGGGTAGTTTCTCTCCCTCCTCCTTCCCCCACCCCTTTAACTTTGTACTAGGCTGGCCTGGGCTTACACCAGCTCAGCCATCTTCGCAATCTATTTCATATTATTTATTTTAATTTTCTATTAAATTATTGGAATAAAGTTGAGTTGAGGGTCTGGTGCTGGCTCCAGGGGAGAGGGTCAGGGAGATGGCTTGTGTTAAGGAGGTACTTGGCTAGTTGGATGGGAGAGGATGGGAGCCCCTGCCCCAAGCCTTTTATTGGGCTGGTAGCTCGAAGAAGGTAGTCAGGAGTTAGGAGAGGACTTAAAATGTGTATTTCAGTGTAGGCTGGCCAGTTCCCACCCTCAGGCCCCCCCCCCCCGCAGTGGAGAGGAGGTGCAGGCTATTACTCAAGCCGTCCCTGAGTGCGGCACCTCTGCAGCCTAGACGTCTGAAGGGAGCCCCTTGCTTCAAGGGTCTGGTGCGAAGACAAAGTCAAGGGCCTGGCGCTCAGCCCCAGCCACGTTGGGGTGCCAAAGGTCCACGATGAAGACCACTCGAGGCCCATCTTCCGGGGAGCCTAGGGCACAAGGGTATGGAGACAAGAGAGCAGCTGACATTAACTACTGATATGCCAGAGCACTCACCACATACACACAACAGCCAGTACTTTGTCAGTAAGTGCCAGGCACTATTCCAACCCCTTACATGTGTTAACTCTAAGTCATCCAAACAAACCACAAGTCATTGCCATGATTATTCCCATTTTATACGAAGTAACTGAGGCACAAAGAGATTAAATAACTTGCCCAAGGTCACATGGCTGGTACATGCCAGGGGTGGGACGGGAACCCAGGTGGTCCAGGTCCAGGGCCTTGTACTGTTACCACTGTGCTGAATCACCCGGTAAAGAAGGTGGTTGCCTCACCTCACAGGTGTTTGGGGAAGTTATAGGACTTGTTCAAAGTCATGCAGCTGGAAAATGCTAGTGCTAGGACCAGATGCCAGTTGGGCTTGATCCCACAGCCTCTAATCTATTCCCCTTCACTCAGTCTCATTCCCCCTAGTAGAATGGGAGCTCATTACCATTATGAGCCACTGTGTGCAGGAAGGAGTCGTCTACCAGTAGACAGTGTCCCTCAGCCCAGCACTGGGGCTCACCCCCGACCACCAGCTCACAGCCAGGAGGAATCTTCAGGCCTATGGAAAGAGACCAGGCATCCAACACCCCTGCCTCCATCAAAGGGGCCCACCCCAGTCAGTCAAAAAGCAGTTTGAAGGTCTCAAAAAGTCCTACATGGTGTCCCTCCTTGCTCTCTTGAAGGTGTCCCGGATTTACAATACAGTACCAGATGAAAGAAGTGCTGGGAGATAGGGGAAAGGCAGTGCAAAGCACAAGCTCTCAGTTCCAAAGGAAAGAGAAGGTTTCCTGAAGGAAGCGGCATCTCTTCTTGGGCTTCTGCCAATTTAGCACAAGAACCTACTTACTGTCTATGAGGCCCTCAGTATAAAAGTATTCAGTCCATTTTTGCCCAAGGACCAACATGGTAAAATGTTGGTGTTTTGCACAACACGGTAAAGTACTGCGACAAAACCGAGCAGCCAGCTCTAATGATGGAGAATAGAAAGACCTCTCAGGGATCCCTGGGTGGCTCAGCGGTTTGGTGCCTGCCTTTGGCCCAGGGCGCGATCCTGGAGCCCCAGGATGGAGTCCTGAGTCGGGCTCCCCGCATGGAGCCTGCTTCTCCCTCCTCCTGTGACTCTGCCTCTCTCTCTCTCTAACAAATAAATAAATAAATCTTAAAGAAAGAAAAGAAAAGAAAAAAAAAGAAGAAAAGAGAAAAGAGACCTCCCAGAGGAGGTATGATGTTTAGAAGTGGGAGTCCTGAAGGCTGAGTAGGAGTTTTCCAGGAGGTGATAGGTGATAAGGGAGAAATACATTCTAGGCTGCGGAGTGTGGCATCTGCCAGGATCGGCCAGAAGGCTCTCATGATCTGATGCCTGGTGATGGAAGGGAAGGGGAGGAAGGGAACAGGTGGGAGAAAGAATCTGGCCTTGACGCTGAAGCCAGTGTGCTTTGAAGTGGAGGACGCATCAAACTGGTAGCACAGGAAATGATTTTAGGTAACAGGGCTTTAAGTAACCCTGCATTAAACAACAAAACTGTTTCCTTCTCCATTTTCTCTCAGTCTTTAAAACATGAAGAAGGGAATCTCAGTTTGGTGCTATCATAACTTTTAACGCCCCACTAACACTGTTCCCTTCCAAAGGAAGAGAGGTTAGGCTTCAGTCTCAGGCTAGAGTATTTAACTAGAATTTTAATTTATTTTTTATTTTTTTAAAGATTTATTTATTTATTTATTTATTCATGAGAGACACACACACAAACACAGAGGGCCAGAGACACAGGCAGAGGGAGAAGCAGGCTCCAGGCAGGGAGCCCGACAAGGACTCAATTCCGGGTCTCCAGGATCACGCCCTGGGCTGAAGGCAGCGCTAAACTGCTGAGCCACCCGGGCTGCCCTTAGCTAGAATTTTTAAAGCTTTTTTTTTTTTTTAAGTTTGAATTTGTTTTTAAGAGTACTTTCTATTTAGTGCAAGTAATACTATCATTGTTTTATAAAGATCCCTTTAAAAAAAAAAGATTATTTATTCATGAGAGAGAGAGGCAGAGACACAGGCAGAGGGAGGAGGCCCCATGCAGGGAGCCCAACGTGGGCCTCGATCCTGGAACTCCAGGATCATGCCCTGAGCTGAAGGCAGACGCTCAACCACTGAGCCACCCAGGCGTCCCTACACAGATCCCTCTTATTTATTTATTTATTTATTTATTTATTTATTTTTAAATTTTTATTTATTTATGATAGTCACACACAGAGAGAGAGGCATAGACACAGGCAGAGGGAGAAGCAGGCTCCATGCACTGGGAGCCCGACGTGGGATTCAATCCCGGGTCTCCAGGATCGCGCCCTGGGCCAAAGGCAGGCGCTAAACCGCTGCGCCACCCAGGGATCCCCACAGATCCCTTTTAAATAAGTGAAACAAAATGCAGGGGGAATCAGTACCAAGAAACATAATCCAGGTGGTAAATGACCATGGCAAAGCTTATGACGATGGTTGGCAGGTAACGAGCTCAGGAAATGCTGCTATGGGCAACAGGGAGTGATGGAAGATTGCTGAGAAGAGAGGCATGATCAGGAGCACAGTGTAAAGAGCTCTGGTGGCAGAGAAGAGAGTTTGGAGGAGGAATCATGGAGGCAAAGAGGTTGTCTGTAGTCAGCATCTACTTACCCAGATGGCATCTGACCCGGGCATTGGTGGGCCCACAGCGGCCCTCAAGTCGGGCGCCAGGCAGGAGGACAGAAAAGCCAGCATTGCCGAAGGTGTTGGCACTCATAAAGCTCCGCAGCCCCCGCAGTGCCCGATAGGCCCCCGGGCACCGGCGGCAGTTGCTGGGTTGGCACCGGCCTGCTTGGTACAGCAGGAGCTGGTAGCACCCGGGGGCCAGGGGTGGGGACCAGCCCCGAGGCAGAGGAGTAGTCCCTGAGAAGTCCCAGCTCACAGCCCCAAAGTCCCGCAAAATGGCAGGGAAGCTGCTCTCTAGGAGCTCCACGTCATGCCGCTGGGCATCCCGTGGCACAAAGGGGACTGAGGGCAGGTCCGGCAAGAAAAGCAGGCCTGGGCGCTGAATGCCCAGGACGCCTGGCCCTCCCCCAGGGCCTGGGCCACCTTGAGCTGCCCGCCTCACCCTACCCATGCCAGCCCAGGAGTACCGCCTGGCGTAGGCCCGCAGGCGACGGCTCACTAGGCCTTCGGCCCTGGGTCCTTCCCCAGGCTCCCCAGATCTCCCTGGGCTTGACCTGCCAGTCTCAGAGCACCCCCTAGGCCCTCCACTGACACTCCCAGCCTGACTCCCAGCCCCCAGAGCTTGCATGTCTTGGGAGCCCAGGCGGTAACAGTACCAGAGAAAAAGAGAAGTGAGGGCTCCAAGGAGCAGGGTGAGGGCTGACGAGGCCAAGGGCGATGGCCATGCAGGCATGATAGGAAGGGAGGCCCTGGCCAGGAGGCCCGGGGCATCTTCCAGACCCCAGTTCCCCTGTCCCCCCAGTTCTCCACTGTTACCCTCTGTGGCTGCTCCCAGGTTACCCTCTGGGCTGTTTCCCCTCCACATTTCCCACTCTGGGTTCTCTCCCCTCTGAGGTCTTCTCTTCACGTCAGTGTATCCCCCTCTTTCTCACCTCCTTCAAGTACCTCCCAACCCTCCTTTCTCTTTCTTTCCTTCTATCTCTCTCCCCTTCTACCTCTTTCTCCTTCAACTCTCTCTTCTTTCTACCCACCCCCCTCTCCTTTTTCCTTCCGGCTGTTTCTCTCCCTCAGCCTCTCCTTTCTCCACCCTTTCAGTCTTCCCCTCTCCTTTCTTCTCTCTCCTCCCCGCCCCTCTTCTAGCTCCCCCTCCCTTCCCTCTAGCTTCCCCCGGACACCAGTTCCTACCCTACCTGGACCCGTAGCCCCGAGAGCCCGCAACCAGTTGTCCTCCGCAGCGGCTTCTCTCTCTCCTTCCAACCCCTTCTTCCCTTCTGCCCTTCCTTCTCCCTCTACCCGACCCGCTGGTCTCCTCTTTCTCTCTCTCTCTCTCTCTCTCTCTCTCTCTCTCTCTCTCTCTCTCTCTTTCCCCCTCCCTCCCTCTCTCCTACTCGTCCCTTCCTTGGCTCCCACTCACCCTGACGTCACCCCTCCCCACAGTCATCTCAGCTTAGCTACCCCCCGCCCCCACCCAGTGGCAGTCGCATCTTAGCCGGGGTGGGGGGGTTCGTCTCCGGATTTGCCTCCCCTCCCCGCCCCAACGGGGCGCCACGTGGGGCACAGGGGACACTGTGCCAACCTCCAGCCGCCCCGCAATGCGGGGGAAAGAAGGGGCGGGGGCTGAGGGAGGGGCGTGGCAAGACAAGGGGCGGGGCGAGCGCGCAGAATGGTGCACAGGGCCCGCGCTCTCGGACTAAGGACCGGGACACTGCGGCCAGTCCGTCTGTCTGCTGATCCCTTGACCAGTCGGCCTGTGACTCCCCTCCCCACTCCGCCTCCGCTAGAGCCAGCCTCCCCCACCCCCCGGGAGCCTGATTGATAGTGAGGGCCGCTTCAGCCAATCGTCCGCGGCGCGGGGGGCCGGGCCGCTCCTGCGGGGCCGGGGAGAGCTGTCCGCGGCTGGCGGTGCTGAAAAGGGCGCCCCAGAGGCGTTGTGAGGGAGGCCAGGAGACAAAAAGCAAAGTTGAAGCCTCCTGGCAGCTGGCCGGGGTCCTGTATGTAAGGCAAGAGGTCTCTCCTCCCCAGATCCTGGTCTGTCGCCCCTTCGACTTCTCATAAACGTGGAAACTTGTCATTCTCCTGGAGGAGGGGAAACCCCGTTTCACCTGAGCTGTAAAAGGGAAAGGGAAGTCCCGTGGGGGGGGGGGTGTCTGGTTGTGGGCAGGGGGCATATTGGGGAGCTAAGCAAGCGTGAACCCAGCTGTGCCGCCCCTCGGCACCCTGGGAGGAGGAGATTCAGATTCCAGATGTGCTGAAAAGGCTGGGGGAAGGGGTTGTAATTACAGCTAGGACCAGAGTTTCCTTTGCCTCCCCTAGGGGACGCGGGAGTGAGGATTACGGTCTGGCTCATGTGGTCCCTCCTTCCTCCATCTGCACTTCCTCCTTCTCCCTCCCCCACTGTCGCCCCCAAATAAATCCCAGGCCCCTCCCTTCGCCCGTCCCCAGGATCTGACGTGGACTCGACACCTTTCTCAGCTTCTCCCTCCCGCAGCTCCAGTGCCCGAGCTTCGGCTCTCCAGGTTCCGCAACCCCCTCCCCTCCCCACCAAGCCCCGCTAGAGCACAGCAGGAACTCTCCCGATGCTCAACCCCACCCTAGACCCCCAGAAGCTGTCTTGCCTTTCCCCACTCCCCCAGCTTAGGATCCAGCTAGCTCGGTAGACCCAGGCATCCGAGCGTGTGGGTAATCCAGGCGACCCGACCCTTTCGGCCTCCTCGGTCCCACCCCCTCCAGCCGGAGCCGCGCCCCCTCTCCCACAGACCCGATAGCGGAGGACAGAGAAGATTGGGCAAGGAGGGGTGGAATCCAGGCGACCCCCAGCCCAATTCTGCCCCTCCATCCCAAGGAGCAGAGAAATGGTCTTCCTTGCTAACTGCTAGCAGGGAAAAAAAATTAAAGGGAAAGATAAAAGGAGACGGAGGAAAGGTGACAGCTAGATTATTTAGGAGAGGAGCAGAGGAGAGAAATCGGTGTGAGTCGCCATGGAGACTCCTAGGGTCCAGCACCCGCCGCCTCCCCAGCTGCTGTTCCTAATTCTGCTGAGCTGTCCCTGGATTCAGGGTAAGGACATGGGAGTGTGGGGGTAGGCCCTGGGAAGGTCCTCAACTGGGTCCTCTACCATCCTTTCTCTGAACATTCTGGGCTTTCCTAGCTTCTGGAGGAGGGCGGGGGGCGGGGGATGGGGTACAGCTGACGGGGAAGGGGTAAGCCAGGGTTTTCTGGCTTGTACCCAGAGCCCTAACCCACAATACTGAGAAGGTGGGGAAATGAACAAGGGGAGCTTTTACCAGCGTCTCAGGGGTTAAATCCAGAAAGAAGGGCTGGGGAAGTTGGGGGGGATGTCTGCGGAGGCGGCAGAAGCTTGCAGGGTACCTGGGTGGGAGATGGAGGTGCTGGGAGAGATGCCAGGCACTGCACACGCAAATGTTCTTGGACGTATGGACAAAGACAGATGAACAGAGGCAGTGCTCAGAGACCAGATATTCAGTCCTCTACTCTGACCCCTCGCCAGACTCCAGGGAAGCAGGCAAAGACTGCAGAGAATGAGGGAGGGAGGGAGGGAGGGAAAGAGAGAGAGAGAGAGGGAGAGAGAGAGAGAGAGAGAGAGAAACCACACTGCAGAGATAGAAACCCAGGGAGAAAGCTGGGCATTGCAGGAGCAAGGGCTGGGAGGTGCTGCCAGACCCTCGGAGGAGCTCCTGGGTTGGCGGAAGAGCACTATCGAGGGGAAAGGAAGGTAGCACAGTGGCCCCTCCACTCTGCTGGCGCTGTCCAGGGTTCATAAGAGCCAAGATGCTTACCAAAGGCCCACACAGCCTGGGGGGGGTGGGGTTTGGGGGGCTGGGGGGTGGGGAGAAAGGTGTAGTAGAAGTGCGAGGGGCAGCTGGGAGCCCCTCCTCCAATCTTGGCTCTCAGCCCAGTCTGGGACCCTCTGAGCTCCTGCAGGCCCAGCTGACTGAGGAGGGAGGAAGAGCTCTGGGAAAGATCTTTCCGAAGAAGGAAGGAGTGTGGGGCAGTGGAAAGGCTCACACCACTTCATCTCCTAGGTCTGCCCCTGAAGGAAGAAGAGGCACTGCCAGAGCCTGGAAGTGAGGCCCCCACGGTAGCCTCTGAGGCTTTGGCCGAGCTGCTCCATGGGGCCCTGCTGAGGAGGGGTCCAGAGATGGGCTACCTGCCGGGTGAGGCCCCTAAAGTGGCAGTAGTGACACAGAGGAAAGGTCATTAACTTGGGGGAGATGGGGGCTCAAGCCAGTGAGAGAGATGGTTAGTGAGTCAAAACGGCAGAGAGAACCGGGGCAACTGAGACAGAATGATCAAGAGACAGAGCCAGACAGAAAAACAGACCATCAGAGAGAAAGACAGATGGAAACTTAGAGAACCAGAGTCTGAGGAATAGGGGGGAGACAAAAAGAGGGAGAAGTGCAGAGAGTAGCAGGTTTAGAATCATAAAATCAGAGAGCCATAAGAAAGAATACTAAGCAGAGAAGAGTTCCAGAGAGAGCAAAAGAGAGAAAGAGGAGAGAGAAGGGGGCACACAGGAAAGGGAGCCGGATCTGAACCTGGAAGCATGGAGAGGCTCAAGGAGACGGTCAGAGTGGAAGGACCTGGGTAGAGAGGTGGAGGGGGTGGGGGAGTCAGGCTGTGGAAGCCTTGGGAGGAGTGCAGAGTTCGGGTGCGGAAGGGAGAGGTGGGGAACCTGCATCTTGTGGGGGAGGTCTTTGGGTTCAGTGGGGGTGCCCCCAGTTTCCCTCAGCCCTGCTCCCCACCCACGGCCCACCAATTTGCTCCTTCTGCACCCTGACTTTCCTTGCACTGTCCCAGGATCTGATCCAGACCCCACACTAGCCACCCCTCCAGCCGGCCAGACTCTTGCAGCGCCCTCCCTGCCACGGGCCACTGAGCCAGGGACGGGGCCTCTGACTACGGCCGTAACCCCTAAAGGGGGCAGGGGAGCAGGCCCCACCGCACCAGAGCTGCTGACCCCGCCCCCCGGAACTACGGCCCCGCCCCTTCCTGGCCCCGCCTCACCAGGCCCGCCCCTTGGGCCTGAGGGAGGAGAGGAGGAGACCACCACCACCATCATCACCACGACAACTGTTACCACCACAGTGACCAGCCCGGGTAAGGCAAGGCGTTTGAAAGGAGATGGGGATAGTGTGCAGGAGCACGAGTGTGGGAGAGAATGGGGGATGCAGGGGGAGAGGCGGCTGGAAACAAATGGAGGAAGGGGTCTGGGTATAGGTGGGAGGGGGGTTTCTGCTCAATAATAAAGGCTGGCATTTGTCTCCCCTTGCTGTATACCAGCACCGTCCTATGCATTTTATCTCTATTATAGTTGGGGAAGGGAGTTATGGGCACGGGTGGGTGAGGGAGCAGCAGCTTAAGATGGCGAGGAGTGCTGGGGACAAGACAGGTGAGGGCCCCAGAATTGCTTGCTGGGAGGGCAAGAACACAGGGATCCACTCAACTCTAGTCACTTGTGTCTCTTTAGTTCTGTGTAATAACAACATCTCTGAGGGCGAAGGGCATGTTGAGTCTCCAGATTTGGGGAGTGCAGCCAGCCGCACCGTGGGGCTCCTGGACTGCACCTACAGCATTCATGTCTACCCTGGCTACGGCATTGAGATCCAGGTAACTGGACTTCGAAGCCCCCAAGCCCTTTCCTCTGGGCCCAGGTGTGTGCGCAGGTTTGGTCTGGGAAACAGAGAAGCTGTTTTTTGACTCAAATATGTCTGTTTTCTAAGGATCTCAAAGACTCTCCTGGAGTTCTATGATTTGGCCAAAGTGAGGGTGGTGTTTTGGGCTGTCAAATATGGGGGAAAGGAAGGCAAAGGGTGGGGACTTAGGGGTCACCTATCCTGACTGCCCTGTCCTGGGGGATCTGGGTTTGGCTCTTTAGGTGCAGACGCTGAACCTGTCTCGGGAGGAAGAACTCCTGGTGCTGGCTGGCGGGGGGTCCCCGGGCCTGGCCCCCCGACTCCTGGCCAACTCCTCCATGCTGGGAGAAGGACAGGTCCTTCGGAGTCCAACCAACCGCCTGCTCCTGCACTTCCAGAGCCCACGGGTCCCAAGGGGTGGTGGCTTCAGGATCTACTATCAGGGTGAGGAGTCTGGGGTGCTGGTGGAAGGGCAGGGGACACAGTGGCCCAGGGATATCCCTGGGAGGCTTCTACGGCCAGGGAGATGTCAGGGGCTTTTCTCCTGGCTAGGATCCTGGAGGGCAGGGCTCTCAGAGAAGATCTATACACACTTATTTCATGCACTCACAGACATGTGTCTGGGTGTGCAAACATCCGAGTGGCAGTTCATCCATTCACTTGACAAATGTTTATTGAGCACCCATTTCATATTGGCCCTGTGTTGTCCTTGGGGAGAGGAATGAACAAGCCAGATGTAAATCTTCAAGGAACTCAGAATCTAGGTAAAGAGATGGACAAGTAACCAGGATGATTATAATTCAGTGAGATAAGGACCTCTATCCCCATGATGAAGGGACACCTTCTTGGATGATGTAACTAAGCTGGGACCTGAAAAGATGAATTACTAGGAGAAGGGGGGGGGGAGAGAAAGAGGAAGGCAAGCATCCAGATGGATGAAAAAGAATGATCCCCTTAAGGAGTTGAAGTAATTCAGCATGGAAGAGAGAATTGTCCTAGCTTTGTGACCTGGGGTGAGTACTTAACCTTCTCATGCTTCACTGTCCCATCTGAAAAATGGGGATCATGATGCTTAGCTCATGGTAGTATTAGGAAGACCAAATTAATGAATACATGTCAAGTGCTTAAAATAGTGTCTGGTACGCAGTGAGAGCTCAGAAATGTCAGTCACTGCTATAGAAGAGCCCAGAAGGTGATAGGAGAGACTATAAGAGACCAGACTGGGAAGTAGGTTGGATTCAGAGCATAAAGGGCCTTATCAGCTTCAGTAAGGAGTACAGACTATTTTATCCCGCAAGGGATGTGGAGACATTTTGGAATGTTTTAAGCAAGATAGTGACAGCCTCAGATTTGTGACCTAGAAAGATCCTACTGACTTTGGGCGGTGTAGGAGGGGATTGTATCATATCCATGCACAACTGCATTCATGAGCACCACCCACAGACAACCTACACACACACGTGTACATCCATACTCACCTGTGTGTACAGGAACCTTTCCACAGTGCATGCATATGTTCTAGCACACATGTGTGCATGAGGCCAGGGGCCCAGCCCACTATCCCATTCTAGACACGCTGCCATCTCCAAAGTCCCTTTCTGTGCTCCTCAGAAACAGATAGGGAGCTGTGTTTGGGACCAATATCTCCTCATGGCCTTACTTGTCCCTTGTAGGTTCTGCTGACCCCAGATCCCTTGTGGGCCTTATTTAGGACACATACAACCTGTATCCCTTCCTCACACTCTTTCCAGTTTCTGCTGAGGTCTATACTTGGGCTCCAGGAACTCCTATGTGCAAGTGGAGAGACCTATTTGTGGAGGGGCCTATGAGTTGGGGACCTCATAATGGGAGGTCAGATTGGCAGGGAGCAAAGTCAAGCCTAGGACCTAGGGCCGAGGGCTGGACTTCCAATTTTACAAAATGGCTCCCTGCTGGCTCCCTTAAACAGCCACTTCTCTAGGGCACTGAAAATAGGACTCTTTAGACAAAGTGGAACATTTGGGGAAGCAGAGCTATTGCATAAATTGGTCTTCATTACCTACCTCGGGCTTCCCTGCTTTGCGGCTTCTCCGGGCACCTTTGGGATCCCAAGCCCTGTTTAAACCCTCCCCACTCTGCCCTCACTGGGGCCTCTAGTCCAGAGCGGCCTCATTAGCTTCTCTGAAAGGCCAAAGGCTCCATCACAGCTCGCCCTGAGCCCAGCAAAAGTTCCCATTTATAAAACCCTTATGCTGGCTATTGTTTCATTTTCTTCTTGCGGCACCCCCGCAAGTGGTCATTGGCCACTCTGCCTCTGAGAGGAAGAAGGGCTTTCCGAATTGCTAAGCACCCCCGCAAGGACACTGCAGAGCGGAAGTCAGATCCTCAGCCCTGACTCCCAGTCATTCATTAACTGAGACTGAGGGACAAGTGATTGAGATTTTCTTCACACTTCCTATGTGTGAGGTGCTTTGCGTGTTTCTTTCCTTTAACTAGAGGGTCAGTCATCAAAGATTGGAATTACTACTGCTATTTAAGGGTGACAGGTCCTGGAGGTGACATCACCTGCTCAAGGTCTTACAGTGAGTAAGTCATGGAGCTAGAAATGGAAGTCAGCTTTACCCAGCTCCCAATCCAGGGTTCTTTTATACTGTTCCATACCACCTCTTGGCTGCATTGATCGATCAGTTAGGCTAGGCTTTTGGGAGACAAAATAAATAAGGCCTCATTCAGTCTCATCATGGCAATAGCAGTTAATGTGATGATATAAGTATGCATTCACATGTGTAAAGGCAAGAAAGAAACGGACACTATTGGAAAGGGAGGGGTCAGGAAGACTTCCTGGAAGAGGTAGTACTTAAGGTACTCCTTGAAAGATGAGAAAGAGGCAGGGGAAAGGGCCTTGTCAGTAGGGGAAATGATGTGATAAAATATGAAGTCACAAAACTACATTGTGTAGGATAACTGGGTTGCAGGTGCTAAGGACTGAAGCAGGAAGTGTTGGGCTGGATGCAGCTGTGGAAGGGGCTTGAATGTTGATCCAAAGCATTTGGACTTGATTCCGTTGGTCTTGGAGAGCCATCAAGAGGCTAATATTTATTTAAGCCACTGTGTTCTAGAAGGTTTTTGGGTCTATCCAGTAGGCTGAGGACTCCCAAAAGACAAGGCTTGGGTCTTTTTCACCCCTCTGTGCCCAGCACCCAGCCAAGGAAATGCTTGCTGAACTTTAAAATAGGGAGACCAGGTCTCTGACAGAATCACTCAGGGCTGGAGAGTCAGCAAAAGCAAAGGCCTAGGCCAGCTGGTACCTCCCAAGCATGGTTGCCCAGAGCCTACCCCTCCTACAGAGACCCAGATTTGGCGCACATCCTCTAGGAAGCTCTTATTGGTGAACTCTGTCCAGTCTGAAACAGACACTCAGAACTGTGTCAGCACCAAATTTAGAGTCCATTGTCTACCACCAAGTCTCCTCTCTTTCTTTCTTTCTTTCTTTCTTTCTTTCTTTCTTTCTTTCTTTCTTTCTTTTGTTCTTTCTTTCCTTCTCTACTTTAAGTAATCTATACACCGAATATGGGGCTCGAACACATGACCCTGAGATCAAGAGTCCCATGTTCTTCCTATTAAGCCAGGAGTCCCCTAAGTTACTTTCTATTTATTTATTTAATCTCTTGTGATTCCACAAGAATTTCAGGAGGCTTTCAAAAAAAGAATGCAGCAAAATTAAATAAAACAAAAAGAAAATCAGTACCAGGTAGTGCTTATTATTAAAGATGAAAAAAATAGAATGTAGATGGCCAAGCCATCGTTGCTAGGGACAAGCCTTAATTTGGTTCCGAGCTTCTTAGCAGCCAGCACAAAAAGAGAGATCACAAAGTTCTTACTGCAAGAAAGGAGAAGAGAAACCAGTTCCTTGAGGAAAGCAAAGCCTTTCCAAGCTCTTCACCTTCCCTGGGGATTCATTTAGGGGGCACTGACGATTAAGGTCTACAATGACAAGATGGTCACAGTTCCTAAAGGAGTTTCATGTGGCTCCTCTGGGTGAAAGCTGAGAGTGTACTCCCACCAGGCACCAAAGGGGAAGTGTGTATGTGTGTGTGTGTGTGTGTGTGTGTGTGTGTGTGTGTGTGTGTGTAAGGGAGAAAACACTGGGAGGCACCAATTGCTAGATCTGGAAAATGCATCATAGCCTTACTCTGGCTACCTCAGAAGCACTGCATGAACTCATTTTAGAAGCTGAGCAAGCTCTGCAAATACTATTTGTTATTCTTAGAGCTGGATGGGTTCACAGTGGTCAACTGACTTGCCTGAGGTCACACAGCAAATGAGTGCTAAAGTCAGAATTTCTTTGAGTCTCAGATACTTCATCTATAAAATGGAGGCCAAAGTGGGTAGATTACAAAGATTAGGGGAAGGTGCTTGGGTGGCTCAGCCAGTTAAGCACCTGCCTTCAGCTCAGGTCATGATCCCAGGATCCTGGGATCCAGTCCCTCGTTCAGCTCCCAGCCCAGCAGGCAGTCTGCTTCTTCCTCTCCCTCTGCCCCTGCCCCCTACTTGTGCGCTCCTGCTCTCTCTCTCTCTCTCTCTCTCTCTCTCTCTCTCAAATAAATGAAATCTTTAAATTAAAAAAAAAAACAAAGATTAGGGGAGAAAGGGATATTGAAATGACCTCTTTGTGAGACAAAGTGCCCATGTGAGAAGTCCAGTATGGACCAGTCTGTGCCACCAAGGGGGACTTGGGAAGAGGAAAGGAAGTGCTAGGGGATTGGTGAGAGAGGTTGGCGTGGGAAGACAAATCCTCCTCCTGCCTGCTCTACCCCATCCAGCCTACCTCCTGAGCTGCGGCTTCCCTCCCCGGCCTGCCCATGGGGACGTGAGCGTGACAGACCTGCACCCTGGGGGCACTGCCACCTTCCACTGTGATTCGGGCTACCAGCTGCAGGGGGAGGAGACCCTTACCTGCCTCAATGGCACCCGACCAGCCTGGAGCGGTGAACCCCCCAGCTGCATGGGTGAGTCTCCTGCACGATAGGTGGGGCTTCTGTCCTGGGAGCCCCATTGGGAGGGTACTATATTGGGGATCTCCATCTTTAGGAAACACCCATCTTCAAGGGGGTTCTGCCCAAAAGAGTCCCTATCCTGATGTCTCCACCTGGAGCTCTTTACACTAAAGGTCTCTGCCCTTGGAGAATCCCCATCCTTGGTGGGGAGGTGTCTCTATCTGGGGATGTCCTACCTACAGGTTTTCCATCAGGGGAGTCTCATCCTGGAGGTCTCTTCTTTCGGAGACTCCTCATCCTTGAGGTCCAAATCTAGACAAACTCTATCTTGGTGAATCTTCATCCTGGGGATTCCATCTTGGAAGATTTTCTGTTTGAGGGAAAACTTTCAATTTTGGGGATCCCTCATAACTCCCCATGCTGTAGTGTCCACATCTGGGGAGTGTTCATATTACCAGAATGGGGGTGTCCTTTCTGGGGTTTTTCTATTCTAGGGCTGCTTCCCTACCTGGGTGGTGGCCATAGATAAGGTCCTATCCTCTAAGGGGAGCCTACAGGGCAGAGACCACTCTGAGGGCAGGTCCCAACAAAAGGTGTTGGATGTAACAGCTCTGAAGACAGGACAAGTCACCTTAACATGTCCCCCCTCTGTCCACAGCATCCTGTGGTGGCACCATCCACAATGCTACATTGGGCCGCATCGTGTCCCCTGAGCCTGGGGGAGCAGCTGGGCCCAACCTTACCTGCCGTTGGGTCATTGAAGCAGCTGAGGGACGCCGGCTTCACCTGCACTTCGAGAGGGTCTCACTGGATGAGGACAATGACCGGTGAGGATCTGGGCCTGGGGTCAGAGGTCCCCACCTCTGGGAAATAGGAAGGCTGCAGTGGGGATTCAGACAGATCTGGGGTGGGCCCCAGTTAAAATTTGTGTCAAACACAGATTAGTCCTTCCCCTTTCCTAGGTGGTATAGCTGTGCCAACTTAGACAAATCACTGAACATGTCTGTGCCTCAGCTTCCTCTTTAGTAGAATGGAAATAATAGGACCTCCTTCTGAAGGCTTCTGTGAGGATGAATGTGTTAAGATATGTGAAGTGCTTAGAAGGGTGCCTGGCACACAATGAGCCCTGTAAATGTGTTTGTCATCATCATCTTCACCGGTACCACTCTTACCCAACAAACTGCCACCTTGGCTCTGCCACTGGTTGCTCTGTGACGTTGGGCAGGCTACTCTTTCTGGGCCTTAATTTCCTCAACTATAAAAATCAGGGATAATAAATCATACTGACTCAAGGGCTCTTGTGAAAAGCAAATGAGATAAAAACATGTGAAGGCTTAGAGTACATGGCATATAGTCAATGCTTGAAAATAATGAAAATAATAGCTGTGAGCGCAGGAGGTAAAGCAGCTTCTGAGGGGAAACTGAGCTCCCAGTTACCCTTCTGTCCATCCCAGGCTGATGGTGCGCTCAGGTGGCAGTCCCCTCTCCCCAGTCATCTATGACTCAGACATGGATGATGTCCCAGAGCGGGGTCTCATCAGTGATGCCCAGTCCCTCTATGTGGAGCTGCTTTCAGAGACCCCTGCTAATCCTCTGCTGCTAAGCCTCAGATTTGAAGGTAAGTGTTCTCCCCTTCGGAACCCCAACTCCTGCACTTTCCCCTCTTGCTGATGGCCCAGTATGGTCACAAGTACATATTCTGTCCCTGCTTATCTCTGTGTTTGGATTTCTGGAACATAACTTTCTCCCCACTGCAAAACTGTAAGAATCCGCTCCTATGGATGCCTTATAATTCCTGAGGTGGCTTCTCCTGCTTAAGAGTCACGTGTGGCTAGATCCAGGTACGCAGCCAAGAAACCAGGCATCTTAATGTCTCAGTGCTTTCCTCTATGAGTTGGCTTCATTGTCAGTCAGGCTCTCAGTCTGTGGTGTGTATCTAGACTGAAGTACCACCAACGTAGTAAGTCCATCAGAAAGAGAAAGCATACCACTTTCCTAAGAGCTTCAGCAAAAATGCCAGGAAGCACTCTCATTTCCCTGGCTTAGGCCATGTGTCTACACCTGGGCCAATCACTGAAACCAGGAGCAGGTGGTGTTATGACTGGCAGGGTCACATCACATGAGCATCCATAGTTGGGCCCAACTGGACCTCATAGACTGAGGGGTGAAGCATGGGTCCCAAAATGAAAGTAGGAGTGCTGTGAACAGAAGACAGGAGACTAGATGCTGGACAAGTAGAAACAAGGAAGACCGTGATCATGGGAGCATTTGAGCTGGACAGAGAGAATTTTATTTATTTTATTTTATCTTATTTATTTTTTTAGAGAGAGAAAGAGAGAGGGATGGGCAGAGGGGTGGAAGGAGGGAGAGAATCCCAAGCAGACTCTACACCCAGTACAGATTCTGACATGGGCCTTGATCTCAAAACCCTGAGACCATCACCTGTGCAGAAATCGAGAGTCGGACCCTTAACCAACTGAACCACTCAGATGCCCCTAGGATAGAGAGAATTCGAAAAGAGGGAGATTAGGGATGAGCATCTCAGGTAAATGGAACAGTGTGAGCAACAGTAAAGAGGTAGAGAAAGGCCTGATATGTTTGGGAAACAGAATTTCAACGTGACTGGAGCAGAGGATTTGTGCAAGCAATTGCAGGAGAGAAACAAAGAAAGTGAAATGCTCAGAGATGGGAGGGGCTGGTTTCTGGTGTGAATCAAGGGAGAAATGGATTTGGTGCTGGGCCCTGATGGATGCATGGGATTTGGGCATGACACCTCATCAGGTTAAGGAACTGTGAACTAAACAGCAGATCTGAAAAATAAATTGTCTGTTAGATTTGAAAATGTGGAGAATTCCCAGGTTTGAGGTCTGCCTCCCTACTTGTGGGCCATGGCTACTCCATGAGCTCCAGATTCCTCTCCACAGATAGTTTTGCAGCTCAGATATGATCATGTGGGCAAAAACTAAAATGCTCTCCAAATGTTCATTTTTGCTGAGTTAGTCCAAAGTCAAAATTGAGTAGCTTCTGCATTCGCTGCACTTTTGGATTCTAGCCACACCATGGATAATCAAGGGTGATCAGAATCTTATTTTTTTCCCTTTTTTTTTAATTTGTATTTATTCATGAGAGACACAGAGAGAGAGAGAGAGAGAGAGGCAGAGACACAGGCAGAGGGAGAAGCAGGCTCCATGCAGGGAGCCCAATGTGGGACTTGATCCCGGGTCTCCAGGATCATACCCTGGGCCAAAGACAGTGCTAAACCGCAGAGCCACCCAGGCTGCCCTTTTTTTTTCCCTTTAGATTTATTTATGGGGCGCCTGGGTGGCTCGATTGGTTAACTGGCCAATCTTGGTTTCAGATCAGGTCATGATCTCAGGGTTGTGAGATTGAGCCCCTCAGCGGGCTCTGTGCTCATCAGGGAATCTGCTCCAATTTTTCCCTCTCTTCCTCTCCCTCTGCCCCACACCCCCGCACTCTCTCTCTAAGATTATTTATTGCCCATCTGTTATTTTTGAGGAGAGAACTGCCATGTCACCTGCATGAGCCAGTTTTCCAAAGGTACCTTTCCCCTCACTCCTGCTTGATTTCCAAAACCAAACGTCTCTTGCTGGGAATCGAGCAATCTGGGTTTGAGACCTGATTCTGCCCCTGCCCTACTGTGTGACGTTGGGCAAGTTACTTTCTGTCTGTGGAACTCAGTTTCCTCATCTGTAGAATGGGAGCTGGGATTTGACTAGCCTAGGGGTTTCCCTCCAGAGGCCAAGAAGGTAACATCAATATGTGAGAAGTGTTAGAGTTTGGGGGAGACTGGAGAATGAAAGCTAAGCCCAAAGTCATCCCATTTTAAACAGCCCACATGAGTGGCCAAACAACACTTGAATTCAGCCCATGTACCCAGTCTGAGATCCCCTGAGGCCTGTCCTGATGCTTTTTTTCTGTGACTCACTCCTCCTCTAGCCTTTGAAGAAGATCGCTGCTTTGCTCCCTTCCTGGCACATGGCAATGTCACCACCACAGACCCTGAGTACCGCCCAGGGGCGCTGGCCACTTTCTCGTGCCTCCCAGGATATGCCCTGGAGCCCCCTGGCCCCCCAAATGCCATCGAATGTGTGGATCCCACAGAACCCCACTGGAATGACACAGAGCCAGCCTGTAAGGGTGAGCCCTTCACATTCCCAGGAGGTCCCTCTGTCTGCAGACTACCCCTGAGCTGGGGCTCTTAGGAAGGCCATTCAGAAAGGAGACTTGCATATTCAAGTCCTATAAATCCAGGCCTTGGGTAAATTTTCATCCCTTTCAGATATAGTTTTCATAGCTGAATAATTGGTGGATGTGTTACAGAATTTAGGGGTCATGACCCAAACATCTTGAAGAGCTCTAACTGGAGCTAAATCATGGGATGAAGGTAATGCACAAGTTGGAGAGTGGGCGGGGTTAGGTGACAGCAGGGCGGGGGATTGGACACAATGGGACTAGGTACGGCAAGAAACAGGTGGGTAAGAGATAATAGGGAGCCTGTGAGGTGGTCCAGTACACACAACTGGAAGTGGTGAGGCCCTTGGTAAAATGAAGACTGAGTTCTGAATCTGCTCCCCCCTCTACCCCAGCCATGTGTGGAGGGGAGCTGTCAGAGGCGGCTGGTGTAGTCCTCTCTCCTGACTGGCCCCAGAGCTATAGCCCAGGCCAGGACTGTGTGTGGGGCCTGCACGTCCAGGAAGAGAAGCGCATCTTGCTCCAAGTTGAGATGTAAGTTCTGGTGCTACCGGGGATGCAATGGGTTCAGGCTCAGTGAAGTGTGGTATAACAACACCTGACCGGACACCGTGAGCCTGGCTGGCTACACAGGATTTGGTGAATATATGATCTGATGAAAGAGGCAACTAACTGTTCAGGATGGGGGTGTGGGTTATCTGGTAGACCTAGCTACAAATCACTTATTGGCCAGGTGACTAGACAGGGACATGGGTAATGGACCCTTCTGCAGGGGCTATAGTGCAAAGAGGCATCTGGCCCAGTGTCTCTCACTCTTTGGCTGTTTCTGAGGCTGCCCCTGGAATGGTTTCCAGGAGTGCTAGCCCAGACTAGGGCCTAGTCACCAGCGTGCAAGGTGGTGGTGGATGTGGGGAGAAGCCAGTGAGAAGATTTGGTATGAGGTGGTCATGTGACCTAGCAGACTAAGTAGGAGGACACTCAGGGGCTTGGAGTTGGGCTGGTGGTAAAAGAGCATGGCCTGTGAATGGTCAGAGCTGGACTTGAGCAAGACTGTGCATCCTCTGGTATTGAAGGAGGGACCAGAGAGTGCGAGGGGCTCCTAAGGAGTTGGACTAAGAATTGGGAAGTGGGAACTGGGAAGAGCCACAGAACAAGTGGAACCTGGAGTGGCTACACAGAGAAGCCCATAATTGGTCTAAGGGCAGCCTGACCTGGGATGGGGAAATGTGGGGAGGGCTGGAGAGTAGGTAGGGTTACTAATGAACAGAGTTAGGGCCTGGGCAGAACTGCATAGGAGGGCCGATCTTGTAACCCAGCCCGCATATCTGGTTCCACTCCCTGCAGCCTGAACGTGCGCGAAGGGGACATGCTGACACTGTTCGACGGGGACGGTCCCAGCGCCCGAGTCCTGGCCCAGCTCCGGGGACCTCAGCCGCGCCGCCGCCTCCTCTCTTCCGGGCCCGACCTCACGCTGCAGTTCCAGGCACCGCCAGGGCCGCCAAACCCGGGCCTCGGGCAGGGGTTTGTGTTGCATTTCAAAGGTACGGAGGTCTAGGGTCCAGAAATGGCCGGGGGTCCGGCAGGCCGGAGATCCCGGGAGAAGCGCGGCCCCCTAAGGCTGGAAGGGCGCCCTGAGTCCGTTGCAGGGCAGCCTCCGAACTCGCGGTTTCTCCCCTGCAGAGGTGCCGAGGAATGACACGTGCCCTGAGCTGCCACCTCCAGAGTGGGGCTGGAGGACCGCTTCCCACGGGGACCTGATCCGGGGCACGGTGCTTACTTACCAGTGCGAACCTGGCTACGAGCTGCTGGGCTCCGACATTCTCACCTGCCAGTGGGACCTGTCCTGGAGCGCGGCGCCGCCCGCCTGCCAAAAGAGTGAGCCCGGGGCCCGCCCAGGTCTCTCATGGCCCCGCCCCTGCCCGTCGGGGGTCCGCCGCTCCACTTGGGCCCCTCCCATCCCCTCCGTCCAGCTTCTGTCTCTTTGCTCCTACCCCTGGGGGTCCCGGCCGAATTTCATCCCTTCGCTCTGCATTTGCCTGGATCTCACTCAGGCCTCGTACCCTTTGGCGTCCTCTCCTCTGATCCCCGGTGTCCCGAAACGGTCCCCTCCGGACCTCTCTGGGCTGCGGCCCAGGGTCCTCTGGGTCCCACCTTACCTTCTCGTGGCCCCGCCCCCGCCTCCTCCTGGCCCCGCCTCCGTCGCATCAGAGTCCCGCCCCTCCCTGGGTCCCGTCCCGTCAACTCGGCTCCCCTCTCCCGCTTCTGGGCCAGGCTCCTGTCCCTCGGTCTCCTACCTTTAACGTTATGGAGAGTCGCTTTGCTGCGGCCTTGGCTGGCCAGAGAACTTGGTTTATTTTATTTATTTATTTTATTTTATTTTATTTTTTAAGATTTTATTTATTCATCAGAGACACACACACAGAGAGAGAGAGAGAGAGAGAGGCAGAGAGAGAAGCAGGCTCCATGCAGGAGCCTGACGTGGGACTCCGATCCCAGGTCTCCAGGATCAGGCCCTGGGCTGAAGGCGGCGCTAAATCGCTGAGCCACCCGGGCTGCCCGAACTTGGTTTATTTTAAAGGAGTTGTCGAAGCCCCATGCTGGCTTGGGGTTATGCAGAGGGGCTGGGGTCCCTCCGGACCCCTCACAGTCCAGAAACGGACAGACACTTAAATAACTCAGGATATATTACAGACTAGTACCTGCGGGGTGATTCGGGGCAAAGTACTTAACATCTCTGAGTCTTGTCTACCTCATCGGTGAAATAGGAATAAGGGCTGTGAAGAGTTTTCACACAGTACCTGTGAACAGTTTAGCAGCTGCTATAAATATGAAGAAGGGCTGGGAGAAGGAAGGGTGTTCATTGTTCTGGGGAGGGGACAGGAGATTTCACAGAAGAGGTGATATTTGAAGGAGCTGGGAGTGTTTATCTCTTAGAATAGCAGAAAGGGGTGTCATCTTGTCATTTTCTCCAACTTTTGGGAAGTCTGCCACAAGGATATGGGATTATAGGTCTTCTCCCTCGCCCTGGGGGGCAATGGTGGAACTGATGAGGTTAAGTTCAGGAAGGCAGGTTTGGACTGGACACAAGGAAAACTTTCTGGTTTACAAAGCTCCCCACCTCTGGGAGAAGTCACAGGATGTTTAGTCTGAAACCCAGACAGGACAGGGACAGGCAGGGATGGAGGCAGGGCCCAGAGGGGATAGGGCCTAGCCAGGGCAGCACACTGAGCCTGAAAGCTGAGCTGAGAGCCAGGTCTCTGAATCTCAGGCCTGTGCTATAGGGCTGGGATCTGGCTGAGGGACCACGTTATTTGACCACCCTTAACCCCTGGACAATGAGTCACATTGACCTCTCAGGATCATCAGAGTATAGGATACTGTGTTTGTAAAGCATTTAGCAGGGTGCCTCCCACAGATCCATGTTCAAGAAATGGCTACGTAAAGCGGCACCTGCAGGGCAGGCTATGCCAGTGAGTGGAATGTGTTGGGAATGACGGGAATGAGCGGAGCAGCGGGGCTGGGCCCCTCTGAAGAGCACAAGCTTCTGTCTGGCCTAAGATCCACCCTGGAAGGCTGGCAGTGCTGGGATGTAGCTGATATGCTCTGGTACAGTGGCAAAATATTTCACATTTCACCCTAGGATGGGGGCCTGAGTTGTCCCCACCACTCTTCTCTGGAAGGAACCTGAAATCTAAAATGCACTGAATTTTACATTTTTCAAACTTCTTGATCTCTTCATTTGGAGGAAATAGTGGGACATGCGGGTTTGCTTAGTGGGAAGATGGCCCATGGCTCAGGCATCTCCCAGCCCTAAGCTCCTGGGAGATTGTTTAAGGCCTGAGGTCCCCCTGAACTTGCCCTCCTGCCAACAGTCATGACTTGTGCCGATCCTGGGGAGATCACCAATGGGCACCGAACCACCTCAGACGCTGGCTTCCCTGTTGGCTCGCACGTCCAGTACCGCTGTCTGCCTGGGTACAGCCTGGAGGGGGCCGCTGTTCTCACCTGCTACAGCCGGGACACAGGCACACCCAAGTGGAGCGACCGGGTCCCCAAGTGTGCCTGTGAGTCTGGGGACACCCTGGGAAGGATGGCTGGGTGGCCTGCTCAGCAGTGAGCTGCCATGTGACTAACATATGCCTTGCAGTGAAGTATGAGCCGTGCCTGAACCCAGGGGTGCCAGAGAACGGCTATCAGACGTTGTATAAGCATCACTACCAAGCGGGAGAGTCTCTGCGCTTCTTCTGCTATGAGGGCTTTGAGCTCATTGGCGAGGTCACCATCACCTGTGTGCCCGGCCACCCCTCGCAGTGGACCAGCCAGCCCCCACTCTGCAAAGGTGCCTGGGGAGATAGGGCAGGAGGGGGCACAGCAGTGTTTGGGGAGTGACGGGGCTGGGAAAGTCAGGTAGCAAATTTGAGACCAACAGTATGCTGAGCTCCCCATTCACCTGTGGTGGGCTCGGATCCTCACAGCTACATCCAGTGGTCCTGGGGGATTTCAAGGTCATGGAATTATCCTCAGGGATGTAGCAGAGGGGGCTTTGAAGTCTCTTGCCCTCTGAATAGGTCTCAGTTTCCCCATTTTCCACTAATTCTACAGACTCGATTAGTTTAGACTACCCAAGAACCCTGCATTTTAGGGGTCTGGAGAAGGAGAGGAGGAAGATGGCCCTGCCCTGCCTACTCCTCCCTCACCCCCACCAAGGGAAGGATAAAGTTTAGGTTGAGCAGAGGGCAGAGAGAACCAGGCTGTCCAGCCCAGCCCCCCTGGGCTCCCGGCCTCTACCCATCCTCCTTCCCTCCCTGGCTCAGACCCCGTCCCCTCCCCCTCCTCTCCCTGCAGTGGCCTATGAGGAGCTCCTGGACAACCGAAAACTGGAAGGTCAGTGAGGGCACAGGTGGAGACCCAGGCCTGGCCAAGTCGGGAGGGCAAGGCCGAGGCCGGGGGCAGGAGGCCAGGCGCCGGAGGGGTGAGGCCCAGGGTTCAAGGCCCAGGGCAGGAGGCTGGGAGAGGCCAGTGGGCTGGGCCGAGCCCCAGCTCACTAGTCTTTCCTCTCCCCAGTGACCCAGACCACAGACCCATCACGGCAGCTGGAGGGTGGGAACCTCGCCTTGGCCATCCTGCTGCCCCTAGGCTTGGTCATTGTCCTCGGCAGTGGTGTTTACATATACTACACCAAGTAAGTACCCTGCTCGGGAAGCTGCTAGCCAGGGCAGACGTCCTGCCTGCCTGGCACAGAAGCCCGGGTGAGGGGGGGGTAGGGGGCTCACCTCTCGATAAGCCCCTCTATCTCTTTCCTCTCCCAGACTACAGGGAAAATCCCTCTTCGGCTTCTCGGGCTCCCATTCCTACAGCCCCATCACCGTGGAGTCAGATTTCAGCAATCCACTATATGAAGCCGGGGTGAGCCCTTCCCCTCCCCATGGGGTGCCACATCTCTCAGCTGCCCTGGGACTCCATAGGTTTCAAAGTCTCTGTAATACCCATCTTGGGGCATTTCAAACTCAGCTATCTACAAAGGCATGCCAGGGAACACAGCAAGTCAGGTGTGAACCATCAGGTGGGGACAGTGGTGAACTTATGGCCCATCTAGCCCATAGTGGAAACTGAGGCCCAATTGCCAGATCTTCCAGTTGTTCAAGACAACCCAGATATTTGTGTGGGATTCTAAGATACTATAAGATGAACCAAACGTCCATTGGCCAGATTCAGCCCCATTCCTACCCCATGGCTCCCAAGTCTCATGATCAATGTTATTTTAAAAAGCCAAGGTCTTTCCTCTCCCTTGTGGATGCCTCCTCCTCTTTTGCTCCCTCCTCCATCCCCATCCTTCTCCGGCAATTGATCCCATCTCTCTCTGTCTCCAGGATACACGGGAGTATGAAGTTTCCATCTGAACCCCAAGATTAAGGCTGCAGGACCCAGGACGCCCCTCCCCTCCCCATTCTGGACAGGGAGGAGAACAGAACGTTGTCTCTGGCTCCTTTCCTCCCTGCTGTGTAAATAGTCTCCTGGGGACCCTACAGTAAATAAACCAGCATCCTGCCGCCCAAGCCTCCTCTTCTCAGTTGCCAAACAAAGGGGCCTGCCTCTCCCCTCTGGCCCCACTGGCTTTTGGACCCTGGGAGGGGAACCCAGCCCCCCTGCAACTCCAGGGGCTCCTTCTGGCTCAAGGCACCCCCACCCACCCACGGACTGCCTGAGAGCTCTGCTGTTCCCTTGGCCTTGAAGGCTCTTCCCAGATGCTCTGGCCCTGGGCCTCACCCTGGGCTCTGGAGGGTCAGAGGAAGAGGGATGAGGGGGGAAAAGCGGGGAAAAGGCCCCTACCCCGCTTCATGCCATCTCCCAATCCACAACCTCCCCACCTTCGCTTCTGGATTTTTGGTTTTGAGCAATAAACAGAAAACCACCACTTGTAACTGGGTTGGTGGGGTATGGGCAGGTGGGTCACGGAGTGGCCTGGAGAGAGAGGAACGATCTGGAAAAAAGATGGAGCTCCAAGACTGGGTCAAGGGACTGCTGGCCTGGGGTCCAAAAGCCTGGCTTTAGGCTCGGCCTGTGTGGAGGATGAGCCCCCTGTGGGCTTCAGCTGTCTCTAGCCCCTTGCTTGACCTTCTAGGCTCTTTTAGCCAGGAGAGAGCTGACAGTAGCCTCCTCTCGGGCCAGGCAGGAGTCACCCTCCCTCCCTGCTTGGCAGGTCACAAACAGCTCTCTGTCTGTTTCATGACCGTTTCACCTAAAAGGCAAGTTCCTTTTGAGAATTTTTGTATCCATCCAAGTGTACCATTCTTTTCTCCCCTAATATTTTTGGCACTGTAAATATATCTGCTGTTACACGCCTACTGAGTAATGGTCAAATTTGTAGCATTTCATAAAGAATGAGCTTGTTTTGTACCCTGTGGGGGGCCTTTTGCAGCGTATCTACTCTTGAATATTATAAGGAATTCATAGCATATTTGTCTAAAGAGTCTCCAAGTTAATTGAGCTTCTCTTAATTCTAATTTTATATTTAAATATAATGAAACATTTTTAGGACACTCAAAAGGACACTGAAATACTCAAAGGAGGCTGAATTTTAGGAGAACATGATGCAAACTGATCTTGATAGTAGCCTGCATTCCTGGGCGTTTATTCTGTGCCCAGCATGGTGCTGAGCATTCTGTATGCATTGTGTTTTGAACCCCTACAAGGACCCCTTGAGACAGGGACAATTATTCCCATTACTCAGATAAGAAGACTGAGGCACAGAGATGTGAAAGGACTTCCTCAGGAGGCTGGAGTCAGTGGCCAGATTCTGATTTAAATGCAAACCCACAAAGCTGGCTGTGCTGCCTTCTGGCTAGCAATGGGCGTGGTATGTTCCCTGGGGTGTGATGCCCCAGAGCTCTGAGGAGAGGCCTCAGCACTGACATTGATGGCAGAGGTGGCTTCCCAGAAGCAAAGGTGGACCCTCTCAGATGCCAGAAAACAGGTTAACTGCCCAAATTAAAGCCATTCCAATAATATGGAATATGCCATTCCACCCATATGCCCACACATCTGGTAAGAAAGAAAAGGAGGAGGTGGCAAAGGAGGAGGAGGAGAAGAAAGAAGGAAAAGAAAAAGGGCGACCCTCTCACATCACCACCCCAGAGAAGCCACTCCAGAGCATGGCCTGGTTTAGGAGGAGGGAAAGACCTGTCTTTTTATTAAAGCCTTGGATTTCTGGTGATGTCCTTGCCAGCTGAGGGTGGAGAGGTGTGAGATGGTTCCAGAACACCTGGGAGGCTTTGGGTGTGATGCTGCTCATGTCCAGGCATCTCCAGCAAACTGAAGTGTTAATGACTTGTGAACGAGGAGCTCTGATGTATGTTCTAGAAGGACACAATGAGGAGGATATGAAAGGCCAAGAGCAGCATCAAAGAGGGTTAGAGTCATCCTCTGGATGCCAAGGTGCTAAGCAGAGCTCCCTAGAAAAGAAAAAAAAGCCTTCTGATTCTTTGGACCCAAGGCTCTTGCCTTTTCCTTCGGTCCTTCACCTCTCCATCCAACCCCTATCCCCCACTCATCTCTTTATCCACCCGTCACTCCTCATTTTTCTCCACCATCCATCCATGCAACCATCCATCTATCCATCCATGTGTTTATCCACCCACACATCTACAGCATTCTACCCATCCGCACATTCTACTCATCTATCTGTCTGCCTGACCATCTAACCCTCATTCACTCATCCACCCACTCATCCCTCTTCTACCTAATCACTCAGCCTCCATTTAAATTTCTCAAAAGCAAGGGACTCTGGGCAGCCCCGGTGGCTCAGCAGTTTAGCCCGGGGCATGATCCTGGAGACTGGGGATCCAGTCCCACGTCGGGGTCCCTGCATGGAGCCTGCTTCTCCCTCTGCCTGTGTCTCTGCCTCTTTCTTTCTCTCTGTGTGTCTCTCATGAATAAATAAATGAAATAATTTTTTAAAGTTTTTTTTAAAAAGCAAAGGGACTCTGCTTACTTCTATACTCCAGCCCCTATAGCAGTGCTGGCACATATGAAGTGCCTAATGATTGTTCAGTGAATTTATCCATTCATCCATTTGCCTACCCTCTCCAGCCACTCACCCATTCCACTGTTCAACATTTGACCATCTACAATGACCTGTAATTCAAGGGGCAATTCAAAGATCTGTAGGCTTCCATGTTTTTGAGAGGAAAAGTCTCTTGGGACCATGGGGTGCTGCCCAGGAGAGGAGAGGGTATTGGCTCAGGATGAAATTCTCATAAGTGCCATTTGGGAAGGTGCAGGAAACCACACTATGGGCAGGTAGGACTGCTACAGAGCATCTTGTCCAAGGCTCCTATTTGACATATAGGGAGAAAGGAAGCAACTTGCACAAGGCTATCAGGTTGATAGCAGATTAACTGTGAAGGCCCAGGGCTTCTTCAAGCTGCTTCTAATACCAAAGGCTAATCGGGAGAGTTCAAATGTCCCAAAGGCACTAGAAGGCCAGCTCTCTGAGGTGAAGAAGGGTGCCTTGTTCTCAGCGGTATTGTGCCATTGGTCTTGGTCATAAGCACTTGAAGTAGCAGCCCCAGAACTGACTATCCCTAAGATCAGGTGGACCCAGCACATAGAAGACACTCAATAAACATCTGCTGTCAGTTCCTTCTCTGCCTTCTTCATGACCCTCTCTCTCCTCCTCCACCAACTCCTTACATGGAAAGACTCTTCAGGACTCCAAACCTCAGAGCCCTCTTCTTTCTTAATCTTAATCTGCCTAATCCTCACCCCCCCCCCGGGGGGCAAACACACATCCTTCAACTGCCAACTCTCTCCAAAATTCAATTTCTATCACCAGCCCAGACATCTCCAGTGAGTCATGAGGCCATGTTTCCAACTACTACTACATGGTATTTCCACCTGGTCTTCCCATTGGCATCTCCATCCAAAGGTGGGGAGCAGGGCTGCCATGCTCCTGGAAGGCTGAGGAGGCTGGTATGACTGAAGAGGGGAGGCAAGGGGAGCAGCTGTAGATATTGAGAGCAGAGAGAGACAGTGGGCTGGGGGAGGAGAGATGCCTTGGAAGCCACCGAAGGACTTTGGCTTTTACTCTGAAACCGGGAACTATCGTGGAGTTAGAAGCATGACATCATCAGACTTAAGTTAAGGCAGTCAGGAATGAGGGGGATGGGGGTGAGGGGTCATCTGATTTTCTTTCCCCCCACACCATTTCTACTCAATTACCAATCTCCGTTTTCCTGGTCTTCGTTTCTCGAATCTGCCCCTCTTCTCATCTCTACTATGACTATGACAATCCAGGACCTGATTGATCATCATGGGCTTAGTCTCTGGGCATGATTGCTAACTGGCCTCCACTTCTGATCTCCCCCTTTCCAGCTCGCTCTACCCCCGACCACCAGAGTGACTGATCTAATTTTGTCTTTCTCGGATCTCTTCAGTGACTCCTGATCTTAATAAAGCATGCATAAGGTCTCTGAGTAGACCCTGGCTATCATGCCTGTGTACTCCAGCAACTAAGCTACCTCTGATCCCACCTTCTCTCCCACCTTAAAACATACACAGGCACACTAGCATTCACTCTACTGAAACTCACCTCATGTCTTTGCTCATACAAAGCCCTATCACTTGGAATACTCTGACCAACCCACTTTTTACTGGAAGATTATTTCTTTAGGTGTCACCTCCCAAGAAGCTCCATGATTCCTTTCCTTTCTCTTCCAACCAAGGCTGAGATCAGCACTCTTCTCACTGTATCCACTTCTATTACAGGCACTGAGCCATAATACACTGTAATTGACCATCTATTGACTGGCACCACACTAAACTGAACCCTTCAAGGGCAGACTGTTCCTTTCATTTCTGGATCCCAAGCTCCTAAAACAGGAACTGGCATATTCTGTGAATTCTAAATGTTTGGTTAAGACTGAATGGCCTTGCCATTCATGGACTTGGTACAAACCTTGTCACGAGAGGATGGCAGGAGGTGTGTCTTGGTGCAGGTACGGTTTCTGTCAGAACTAGAGATGGCAGAGGGAAAGGGGAGGGCTGAGAATTCTAAATTAGACAATCAGAGCAGAATAGAATTGGACTACGTGGTAAAATCCCCCTACCCTGCTAGGATGTTGTCAAACCCTCGCTCTCTCCCCTCCAGGCTCCTCATCCTTCTCCCAGGACAAAGGGCATCTCCCTTGAAGCTTCACTCACCGGGTATCGGTGCCTCGGGTCTTGAAGAACACTGGAAGTAGAGGCCCCAGTCAGAGAAATTATTACCCCCAGAGCCAGAAAGAGATGTGGCTAGGGAGGGAGGTACTGAGGTGTTCCTGGCCAGCAGTGAGGGGTGGGTACTGGGTGAGTTGGGAGGGCAGGGAGCACCGTGCTATTCCAGGACTAGCTGTGAGGGACAACTGGGTGGCTCAGCGGTTGAGCCCCTGCCTTCAGCCCGGGGCGTGATCCTGGAGTCCTGGGATTGAGTCCTGCATTGGGCTCCCTGCATGGAGCCTGCTTCTCCCTCTGCCCGTGTCTCTGCCCCTCTCTCTCTCTGTGTGTCTCTCACGAATAAATAAATAAATAAATAAATAAATAAATAAATAAATAAATAAATAAAATCTTTAAAAAAAAAGGACTAGCTGTGAGATGGGACAGATGGGCACAGATTGCTAGAAAGATCAGCTGTGGTTGGGAGCTGTTAAGGACTGGAACTAAGGGTACAGTAGGGTCTCTGGACACAATGGTCCTGAAGTGAGGGGGGTCACCATGTTTGGATATCTGAGTCCCTTGGTCTTGTGTCTGTTTTTCCTTGATGGGCACAGAGTTCATGTGGCAGCCAGCAATAAACAAGGCCTCATCGGTGAGTTCTGCGCTGATCCGGGTCAGGAATTCTTCAGATCGGGATAATGAAACCTTCTGCAAAAGGGGAAGTCAGAGGGGCTCAGTTCATGGGAGTCCTGGGTCTGGGGGCTCCCAGGCTGGGAGCTCTGGGCCTAAGGAGTCTGGCATCATCTTGAGATTTGACAGAGACCGCACTGGAGGTGGGGGGCTGTCTCTGAGGACCTCGGGGCCAAGTGCTGGAGATTATGCGCTCAGGGGTGAGGTTAGAGTCTCAAGGCTGGAGGTGTCAGTGCCCCTGGCCTAGGGGCTCCCCACTTCAACTCACCCCCATGTTCACCGGACCTCCATCCAAGGGAGTTGCAGCTTGGGACATCCTGCTGCCCTTTTTCTCCTCATTCCTGGTAGGTGTGGATTCCATCCCCCTGGAAACAGGCAGCCCCTGTGTTTAGGCTGAGAAACCAGAACACTTTCCCCAAACCCATCCCACCACCGTTCCTCAGGGCCAGATTTTAAATAAGGCCTTTAGATGAACCATCCTACTGTTCAAAAAAAAAAAAAAAAATTGTTGCTTTAAATCTTACTGGGGAAGGGAGCGGGGTGGGAACACCCACAGCAGTCGTCTTCCCCCCACTTCTCCCACCCAAGGCACCTCCCAAGACCAGACAACTCTCCCCCCACCCCCCATCCCCGACCTGGCAGATGAGTTTAAATCTTAGACAGGAGGGAAACAGGGAAGGCTAAGGAGCCCCTATTTAGGGGACAGGGGAGTAGGAGCTGGAGAGGAAAGCTGGAAAGAGGGGCCCTGGGTGGTGCTGCTACCCGTTGCTATAAAAACCTTGGTGTCTGCGGACGTTCTGCAGCCCCGTTGCCAGGATATTAGGGATTCTAGAACCAAAGGCGTGGGCCGGGGTGAGGGGGGGTGGTCATTTTCCCAGCTCGTCGCTTTCGCTTCTCTGGCCTCAGCTCCACCTCGTTGGGTATGGTGACCCCAGCGCCAGAAGTCTGAGAAAGGGGAAAATCCCCTAGGGTGATGCCTGGGACCTAATCCTCCTACCACTAGGGACGCGCGAGAAGCAACTCCGCCCTCGGCCGCCCTCCAGCCTCTCTAGCCGGCCTCTCTCGCTGCCCGAGCCGGCGGGAGCAAAGAAGACCCGAGAGGGGGCGGGGCCGAAAACACTGTGGCCTGTACCAAGTAACCTTGCCTCTCGGGGAGGCACCGACCCAGGAGGGAGGAATGTTTTCTCCTTGTCTCTGTCTCCAGGAAGCTGTACCCTCCGGAGAGGGGAAAATAGAAGCATTGGCCGCAGTGTTCTCTTTTGACACCTCCTTCTCGGTTCCCTCCTTTGCTCGGAGCCGAGGCCTCTCTGGCTCCCTCCTCCCCCAGCGCTTTGGTACACACCGATGGAAAGGGGCGGAGGGAGGAAAAGGAAGCGGGCAGGTCTTAAAGGGGCCGCAGCCATTTTTAGGCTGTCTCTTCCCCCCCTCCCCCCACCCCTCCTCCAGTTTTGCACGCCCGGCTCCGCTGGGGCGGCAGGGGCAGCCGCTGGAGGCGGCAGGGCCTGCCCCGGAGGAGGGCGGGGTGTGCGCCCTCCTGCTCCCGACGCACCTCTGGGCCGGCCCGTGCCCCGGCTGGCTGCGAGCCCTAACACCTGGGGTCGGGCGGGGACGGCGGGGGCCTGCGCGCTGTGGGCGCGGCGGCTCCGCGGGGCGGGAGGTGAGGCCGCGCGGCGAGGCTGGGGTTCGGTTGCCACCTCCAGATCGGGCCCGGGGCGGCGAGGGGGCCGCCGCGATGCCAGGCGAGAATATCTTCCTGTTTGTGCCTAACCTCATCGGTGAGTGCTGCCCACGGCTCCGCGCCGCACGGGAGGGCGAGGGGCCTCGGGCAGGGTCGCTGATCCCGCCCTGTCTGCCCCGCGTCCATCCCAAGGTTATGCCCGGATTGTCTTCGCCATCGTTTCTTTCTACTTCATGCCCTGCTGCCCCCTCACGGCCTCCTCCTTCTACTTGCTCAGCGGACTTCTGGACGCTTTCGATGGACACGCTGCTCGAGCCCTTAATCAAGGTGACAGACACCTCCTGCCAGCCAGCCTTGAGGCCCAACCACCCTCTTACCCCCCTTTCCTGCCTCCTCGGGACGTGGGGCTGGCGGGAGCTCGGTAACCGCAGAGCCCCGTCTCTCCCGTCTCTGTCGAAAGCAGAACAGAATGGCCTACTTAGGTATTAGAAGGGATTTAAGCTGGCTGTGGAGAAGAATTTACTGGTAGGGTGTGGATCACAAAACTGGACGTGGCAGTGCCAGAGGTCTCCCTCAAGAAAAATCCATTCAACAGGTGTTTACTGGGGGTCTGCTGCCTGCCTGGCACAAGTAATAGGGGTTCCAGAAGCCGTGTTTAGAGGGAGAATGGAGAGGGAAGAAGAATGGTTTCTGGAGGGCAGATTAATTTTTTAATCTGTTCTCCAAACCCACCTGCAAGACCTTCCCTAAGACTAAGTGGGCTTGTCTTGAGCCCTGGACCCTTGGTTTCCGGATTGGTGAGCTGCGGAGTTAGCTGTCTCCTGCACTGCTCCCGCCCACATGCCTCCCCATTTCCTGCCTTAGTGACCCTTGCCCATTGATCTCACACCCCACAGATGGCAGCAGCCTGTTTTCCTCCCCAGGCAATGCCTGCTGGGCATTTTTTATTTTCTTTTAGATTCTGCATCAGAGTGACACACCCAATATGGTTCCTTTCATAGACCCTTGGCCCCTTCCCGCCTAACAGTCCTGGTTTTTCAGGGACCCGGTTTGGGGCTATGCTGGACATGCTGACGGACCGCTGCTCCACCATGTGTCTGCTGGTCAACCTGGCCCTGCTGTACCCACGGGCCACCCTTCTCTTCCAGCTCAGCATGAGCTTGGATGTGGCCAGCCACTGGCTGCACCTCCACAGGTCTGCAATTCTGGGGGTGCTGGCCGGCTAAAGAAGACACCACAGTGGGGAGGGGTGAGGCTATATGGGGTGGTGTCTGGAAAGGCCTCAGGCTCCTGGGGGGGGGTCTCCCTCTTAGCTCTGCTTTGTTGAAGCGAAGCCTCTGTCTATGGGGTCTGATCCTTTTTACAGGTAGGTTAAGCATTCCCTGAAACTCCTCTCGCTGGAAGGTAGAGAATTACAAATAGATAACAGCTGGGGGCTTTGGAATGTTGTATTTCAATCCCGAATCTGCTAGGTAATTACCAGCTAGGTAGTTGTGTGGCTTTGGGCAAGACGTGGGTTCTCAGCTGGGCCCCACTGCCACCTCTGTTCAGTAGGGACAATCCCAGTACCTATTTCATGGGGGTTGATAGGGGGATTAGATGGACATTAGCGGTGAGGAGTACTCATGGATTCTCCCTGCTTTCTCCCTAAGCTCTGTGGTCCGAGGCAGTGAAAGTCACAAGATGATTGACCTGTCTGGAAATCCAGTGCTTCGCATCTACTACACCTCCAGAGTGAGCATCTCCCGCCCCTCCCGTAGTTCCTCGAATATGCCAAGGCCCTAGCTGAGCCCTGGTCCTAGGTTAGGAGAAGCACAAGGAGGGACAAACTGACCCAGGGGAGACTTGGGGGAGAGGCCTGTAAGCTGACTTCAAGGAGGGTAGGATAGGTGGGGAGGGTATGTGTGAATCACTGCCCAAAGCAGAAGGGAGGGAGGGAGGGAGGGGCAGAGAAGCCAGATTGGCCTGCGGAGCCAGTTCTCAATAAGCCTGAGGGTTTAAAGGAAAAACTTCAGGCTATGTGGACTTTATTCTAGGAGCACAGATTGTGTCTGAAAGGATTTTTTTTTTTTTTTTGAGATTTTAGTTAGGGATCCCTGGGTGGCTCAGCGGTTTGGCACCTGCCTTCGGCACAGAGCGTGATCCTGGAGTCCCGGGATCAAGTCCCACATTGGCCTCCCTGCATGGAGCCTGCTTCTCGTTCTGCCTGTGTCTCTGCCTCTCTCTCTCTCTCTCTCTCTCTCTTCTCTCTCTCTCTCTCTCTGTGTGTGTGTGTGTGTGTCTCATGAAAAAATCTTTAAAAAAATAAATAAAGATTTTATTTATTTATTCATAAGAGAGGGAGAGAGAGGCAAAGACACAGGCAAAGCGAGAAGTAGGTTCCCCACCAGGAGCCCGATGTGGGACTTGATCCTGGACCCCAGGATCATGCCCTGAGCCGAAGGCAGACACAACCACTGAGCCACCCAGATGTCCCTGAAAGGATTTTTTTTTTTTTTAAGATTTTCTTTATTTGTTCATAGAGATGCAGAGAGAGAGGCAGAGACACAGGCAGAGGGAGAAGCAGGCTCCATGCAGAGAGCCTGACGTGGGACTCGATCCAGAGTCTCCAGGATCATGCCCTGGGCTGCAGGTGGCGCTAAATCGCTGCACCACCAGGGCTGCCCCCCGAAAGGATTTTTAAAGAGAGAAGCAATAGGCTGAGATTTCTCTCTCACTCTCGCTCCCCCTGCTGTACCCCTATTTCCCAGTACTGCCCAGGTACCACCCATCCACAGAGGGTTCTGGACCCCATCCCTTAGCTGGACAAGGGGCAGCACTGCCCCACCCCGTGCGCCCCTTGGTTAAGCAGCCCTTTTGCTGTTTGTACAGCCCGCTCTGTTTACCCTGTGTGCTGGAAATGAGCTCTTCTACTGCCTCCTCTACCTGTTCAATTTCTCCGAAGGACCTTTAGGTAGGAGGCAAGGGGCTGGGCAGGAGGGGGAGGAGGGGCTGGCCTGGCCTGGGGTGATGGAGGCCTGAAGGCTGCAGGCCGCTGGCCCTCGCCCTCACCTGCGCAGTTTTCTCTGTATCACCCATGCTCCCTTCCGCAGTTGGCTCTGTGGGTCTTTTCCGAGTGGGCCTCTGGATCACCGCCCCCATTGCGGCGCTCAAGTCCCTCATCAGTGTCATCCACCTGGTCACAGCCGCCCGCAACATGGCAGCCCTGGATGCGGCTGACCGCGCCAGGAAGAAGTGACCCCGGAACCTCCAGCCCCTGGCCGCCCACCTGCCCTGGGAGTCTCGCTGGGCTGCGCGGCTTCCCTCCCCTCCCGCGAGGTCCCAGGCTCACGTCTCCCTAATGTGTTGTCCGGCCTGCTGGGAAGGGGGTCAGCCTCTTTGGTGATGCCACGTTCTCTGAAATCCTGAGGACCAGTCCCGTCCCCACCGCCGGGATTCCCAAGGACCTGGACTTCGAATCGGGAAGGATGCTCAGGAGGCCCCACCCCTACAGGCAGTGCTCCTGGAGCATCAGGAGGCCTGAGGACCCGCTGGGGTCCCCCTTGCTGGCTCAGCCCAGGGATCTGGCTCGGCCTGAGACTTTAGGGACACTTGAGTGAGGAGTAGAGGCCGGGTTTCTTAAAAGGCAGGGAGTCAGACCTGTGCCACTGGCCGCAGGAAGCCTGTAGTACCACGGCCAGGAGAGAAGGGCCGTGTAATCCTTTCCCATCCCAGACTCCTGTGTCCAATCTGTCCTGGCTGTGAAAACCTCTAGAATAGGGGGTGTGCTGGGGGAGGGGCTTTATGCTCCAGGACTTGGTTTCCTTTGAGATACTGTTGGACCAGGGCCTGGTTCAGGGGAGCTGGGGAGAAGAGGAAGCTCCATCTGGATGCTTTTCTTCTAGTTGTTTACTGACCCGGCTCTACCCTACCTGGCTTCCCGCCCCCTCCTGTGAGGTCCCAGTCTCTCCTAATTCCACCTTCCACCGTGACCTCAGAGAGAGGCCCTCCCTGCCACCCAAGCTCATGCCCTGTCCTTGCCCACCTGCTTTATTTTCTTTATGACATTGTCGCTGGCTGTCTCGATTTATTTGGATACCTCACATTTTCCACCCCCACCAGAATGTAAATGCTCTGAGGGGACAGACTTTTCTTGTTCCTTCTCTCTCCCCACCATGAAGATTAACCTTCACCTGGCATATCATATTAATAAAATTCACGAACAGATCAATTGGTTTCTCAGAGTGTGGTCCTTAGCGCCCCTGTGGATTATTTCTTAAAGATTTATCTGCTTAGACCCTCTGTGCCAGACCTTTGGAGTTGGCATCTCTAGGGATGGGCCCACAAGTCTGCAATTTTAA